TATTATTAAAGCTAATATATACTTACATGCATATAATAATATATGAGCCTACTCTCGATTCTGTTTTTCTTAAATTCTATGAGCACAGTTTATTTCATCATCGTCATCATCACTATCGTTAACAGCCTTTCATAGTCCACTGCTGGACATAGGGCTCTCCTTAGAAAGGAGGCTTTGACTTACTATACCACGTTGGCCATACGGGGTGGTAGGTTGGTATAGGGTTTGTTTCAAGTTTGTAAAGCCAGTCATCGTCGATTAAGCAGGGCGGCAGCACGGAACCCTTTCCTGACGGACGAAAGTACTGCACTCTTTCGCTAGGAGGGAATTGGGTACCGCCTGTCACCACTGCGATTTCAGGGAGGACTCGGCTCAGCACACGCTGGCAATTTGCCCGGATTGGGCGGAGCAGCGTGGGGTCCTCATTGCAGTCATCGGAGAGGATATCTCGCTACCGGCCGTCATACGCTCCATGACCAGTAGAAGCAGATTTTTTACCACGGTCGCGCAGGCGCAGGCGTGCGGCGGAGAGGGCCCGGGAGGATGCCCTCCACTAGGATCCAATTCGCTGCCAGCGGACTTTAAAATCTATCTATATAAATTATATAAAAATGTTAAGTTGGTTTGTGTACGCTTCAAAAACTCAAAAAGTTCTGGACCGACTGAGCTCAATTTTTTACAGAATATACAACAAGCTTCGAAGATGGGTTTTGAGTATTTTTTGCAACCACAATGTGCCACAGCTAAGCGTGGCGGGCATAGCTAGTTATTCACATGATATCGGTAATTATTAGTTCCTGGTTAATCTCACCAGATTATACATCACCATGTATACCAGTTTGAAACATCTATCTAGAACACGCTTAGTGTTTGTACAAATCAGCCAGCTGGAGGCAAGAATTAGTCGATAGTAAATTCGGCTATTGTATATGCTTTGCAATCAATTTCTCTCTTAGCGCATTTTCAAAATTTGAAATTTTGGCAAACAAGTAAAACAAAATCGTCCATCAGATTTATTTACAGGTACAGTGCGGTTTAAATAACAAATAAATGAAATAAAAGAGACAGGTTTGTTTTAACCTTGAATTAATATAGAGTGATCTTTCTTTTCTCTTTCATAGTGATCTGTTTATTGCACATTTGGTTTTTACATTTCTGTTTAGGGAATAATACGTAACTTTGTAAGTATATTCATCATTACTGACGTAGGGATATATATAACACACGCATCAGCAATGACACAAACGCGTGATAGATGATATGATAAATGATATAAGTACTTGACTTCTTTATCGGAAAATAAAAGTGTAACGTAAGTGGTTTGCGTCAGTCTGACAATTCGCAGAATAAGGTGGCGCAGCGAAGCCTAGGGTGTAGGACTGACGTCACATCCCACCCCACTCTATAGTTGGTATTACTCACTACTCTTTTCACTTTTAGCGTTGCCTTCACATTGGATTTACGTATCTACCTAGAGGTGAAGAAAAAAAATTTTTGCGGCTTTCTATGCATTTCTGTTTTGATTGATTATTTTTGAAGATTATTAGTGAGAAAAATCTGCCCTGTGACCAATTCTATTTTTGTGGCTACAATAAATATGATATACCTAATCTAATTGTTGCTTTTCGGTATTCTCAAATCCGTGTGGGGATGGATTATGAATATGGAATGTCACTACCCCTGTTCATCCTGTGGGCGTCGTTAGATTCGACTAAGGCTGCAAACTACGCAGGACAACAGCACTGCAAATAGAAAACAAACTTGAAAGAAACCCTATACCAACCCGTCTGGACAGCGTGGTATAGTAGGCCAAAACCTCATTTTTATGAAGAGGCCTATATCCAGCAGTGGACAATTATAGGCTGTTAATGATTGATGATTCTCAAAGGATGACCATCCAATAAACAGGGAATGTATTTTTTTACATCAACCATTAATTATCATTAGATAACAAATAGATTTTGACTTAATTGAACTGTAAATAGATATTGGGTTTATATCATTAAAACACTATGATGGTAATAATCGAAAAATTTCGGAACATATTCTAGAATAATTTTGCATTCGCTCACAGGTTTATTAATGAAAGAAACTAAAGATTACTAATCAAGATACGCGACGTGAGCACGTACGAAATACGTTCACATAGTCATTACGCAGTTCTATAAATATTTCTCCATAAACATTTGTATGGAACTTTCGTACTTTTTAGATAGTGTACGTTCTTGCGTCAACGGCTGATGAACCTGCACGAGATTAGAATTGTCGAGTGCTGATCGATGGTAGCGTAATTATAATTACGCTACCATCGAGTGCGAAATGACGTGAACTGGAGCTCATGCAGACGTGACGACCGCTAACATTACTATCGCGTCACTGCACGTTATTTTAACATGTTATCGGTCACCGGTGGAAGGTGTACTATGTGGGCGATCTGAGCTGTACTCGAACGCAGTTTCACAAATTATTCTTGCACGGTTTTAGCATAGCTCTTTTCTCTTTGATGTATTTTAGCACAACCACCCATCAATTGAGTCTTAAACAATGCTTTAAATTCGAAAAATTTAAATATTGTTTACACATACATTGCTTCCGACACACTGATATGGAGAATTTATTTTAAGAAAGCTAGATAAAAATATATGCTATGTACTATTAACGGTAGGTATAGGTATGTTCTGAAAACCAGTTTGGATTCTATGAAACGTTTTAAAGCTGCTGTTACATTAGCTAAAAAGTGTCCAGAAAAGATTTACTTATCAGAACATGTGCACACCAATATTATTCATCCTTACATTATAGGGGCGGTAGTGTAGTAATCTACACGGATTCAAGAGTCCCATTTCTTTAACCAGGTGGTCAATAAAGTTGCACCAGGGACTTCCTTTCTAGGGTATACCTGGTTCCCCGGCTAGTAGTACCCGAGACGGCGTTCGTTCGTTCGGTTCGAGTCCGACATGCCACCGATAGGTGGTTTCCGAGGGGATTTCCGCACGGAAAAAAAAAAAAAGGGGGTCAATAAAGTGTGAATGTGATCTGTATAAAATTATTAATCAATAACTACATTATCTCATATTTGATAACGTAGAGCCAGTCAACCAGTGTACTTAGTCACTAAATAAGTGATTATAAACCAAAAATACTATCTAGTTTATCACATGTAATCACTGCGTCATCTTCTATGTTACCAAATTTGCACAAACCTACGAGTACCTAAGTAGCGTCAATGTGACCCGGCTCTCCACGTTCACATCATACCTCTCTCTCTCTCTCATCTAGTCTTTATCTCCCTTAAAAACTAAAACAGACACATTTTGGGTGATATTAAATAAATTATAGTTTACATTACAAAATGATTACAAATATACAAGCAATGTGCGGCTTACCCACATCAGCAAGGGTATAAATGAATCCGTATTAATCATGCAACATGATTCACCCATGAAACCAGAGAAAGATAATGTAACAGTTTGTATTTATAGAAGCTAGCGTGGCATCGTCACCTAGAATTGCATTTGCAACACAGGGTTAATATTAGACGCGGTGTCCACACGTACTCGCCAAACGATAGTAGGCCTACATTGTAACGCTTTCTAATGCTCATAGCTCATAGCATGAGTGTTTACTTGATGTTGTTGTAACAATGAGCTATTTACTTTACGAGGGCGTTCGAACTACTCTATCTTGATGTCTATTAGAGTATCTCGTGGTCGAGTAGTACTTTGTTCGGGAAATTCGGTATGTTAAGTCTCTTAACAGACATTTTCATTATATTTAAATTTTTCACTAATCATTCTTAATTTTGAGTAGGTAGTTTCAATAGCCATTTGTGTTTTTTGGTTTAAATTCAATTAATTGGTGTTTTTCGAGAGAAATGCACGAGTATAAGAAACCTAAAACTAAATCGCTGTAGGTTTGAAGGGTTCCCACGATTTATCCAGGATCCTACAATCAAATCCTACTCTAACTTCAATGAGACTAACTAAAAATCAAGTAACAAAATTAACAATATAAATTGGGACTTTTATACATATACTTTTGATGTAGAGGTGATTTTGCCTACGTGCAAAACTATAAGTTTTGCACGTAGGCAAAATCACCTCTGCGTAGGTACTTATAATCTATGAGAAAATGCGTTCACAAGTCCCAAGCCATCCACTTCATAAAGGTATTTTTTTATAATATAAGAAAAAAATATACACGACATCGGATAATGCGGATTAAAATCTTAACTAATCAACTTCATGATAGGTTTTTTTGAAGTGACAAACAAATACTGCACTTTTAAAGACAATACCGTATCTTAGAAATAAGAAATTTATGTGTAAAAGTATTCAGACAAAAATTTCGAGTGGTAAACAATCAATTGTCGAGTAAAAGCGGAATAGCTACTAGCTAGTGGAGAATAAATTGTATGTTGTATAACGTTCTTTATAATACGTTATCATGTACGAGTAGGATGTGCACTTTGTCTGACAATACAAATGATGAAATATTGTTGGTGACAAAATACCTCCTTACTTTTATGTCGTGAAGAGTCATAACAGGTTGTAGTAAACGCAGCTGTTGGAAATATTGATATCGTGAGATTTACAGTAATTATATATAAACAATCGCGTGACTGCTTCGGTCACCGGCGTGTTGTGGGTGGACAGTAGTAGACAGCGTATGCCTGTAGTGAACGTCTTCTACATCTTGATGTTTGTATTTTTTATATCGTATTCTTTTGACGTCAAAGAAAACATATTGTTGATATTTTCCTATATCGCCAACAATAACAAAACAAAGTTCCAGTGTTATAAGTGCTTGTACCTCTTTTGCCTTATTAAACGACCATAATTAATTAATCATACCTTAATAACCCCGTAAATAATCATTACTGAGTGAATTAAAAAGAAACAGTGACGTAGCAAAACATTTAACAAGCGCAGTCATATGACTAGCTTTTACACAAACAAGAACGTGTGAATAATAATCTAGAAGAAACGTATAGTAGCGGGATGGAAATAGACAACGATATTGAAGTAACGGTCAGAAATAGAACCCCGCCTCCGAAGTCCAAACCAAAAACAGTCTTGTTAATTATAGAAAGATTCCCGCAGGGACGTTTTCATCCCGTGATTCACCTGCTGAAAACTCGATTGTTCGCATTTTACGTCAATCAGTTGCGTGGTGTTTACGAGCACGTGCGGCGCGACGACGGCGCAGGAGCGTCAGCTGACGGCCAGGAATAGTCCTGACATCGCGGCCACGCTATGCCGCTTGCGCCCGCGCACCCACAAATAGCGCTCTATAATTAGACGCCGGTGAAATCGTGGGTTTGTTATTTTTCTTATCGTCACCGTTACACGATAATTGGGTTAGCGTGAACTACTGCATGTGGGCCCAATCGGGCGTCGGCGTGTCTCGAACACTCTGCCGCCACCACGCACACTGCTTCGGCCATTGTCCTGTCACTATACTAACAAACGTTGCACTCTGGTTGCATGTATTTATAAAGAGACATAAGTATAGAAAACTAAATATCGCTTTGACATCGAATTTGGACCGTAATTTATTAATAGCATATATTCTTTTTAGGTTCTCTAATCTCTCTCAAAGAATTCTCTTCACGCTATTAATTTTTAGATTGCAACAAATTTTATAAATTATCTTTTTTTACTTGGTAACTGTTAATGTGTTAATGTAGTCAAAAAATATATATTATGAAAAACACCTAGATTAAAACAAGAGATAAATAACAATGTTGAAATATCGTGTAGCAAATTATTGTAACTTGCAAAAAATAACTGTCTTCGAATTTTTTGCTGAATGATGCTGAAAATATGCAGACGTCAAAACTAATTAAGTGTCGAGTGATAGTTGAGTGTCTCTAAATGATTCCTACGCCTCATAAATATTTCTATACACGCTTTATTACACTTGAACTCATTATAGAAATTATGTGCTATTTTTTTTTCAATTTCTATCTGTTTTGTTTTTTAACTACCTTGTTTAAGGTTGGTCAAGATAAAGTAATGCTTACCATCTGTTTGTAATATTATTGTTTGGGCAGATACGCTAATGGTCCAAGATCCCAGAGCCCCATTTGCGTCTTATCAATAAGCAAAAAAATAAGGAAATGGTACATTTAAATATTAATCATTATCCATTAATAAGTAAGCTGTGATTTTTTTTTCGAAGTTTGATAATTCATCATCCATACGGTTTTGTAACTGAGACACACATCCTACAGGGTCGGCCCTACTCTGTAGGAATATGCGCCTTGATAAATATACTCATGTATATTTTATTCTATCGAGTGCATTCAGTGCAGCTGTGATTTCACAGTTGCTTATCACGGCTTACTTATTTATGGATAATGATTAATATTTAAATGTATCATGTTAAAATTTTCAGTTAATAAATTTCCTTACTTTTTTACTTATTATGAGACGCAAATAAACTACTATTTTATTAAATTGGTTGTTGTTGAAAGCCATAAATTTCCTAAATATACCCAATAAAAACATTCTTCATAAGTCAACAACGATACGTCCATAGTTTTCATTACAAGTTCAAATGTTTTAAAATTTTATTATTCTATGATTTTCGTTATTATTAAGCGTGAAAATATTACTTAATTATTACTAAAAACTTCCATAATATTTTAATAACATGAATTTTATGAGCCTATGTTATAAAAACTATGCTAACCCTTCTAGCCAGCTTGTTATACGAATAATAGGCCAAAACCTCCTTTCTAATGAGAAGCTTACGTCCAGCAGTGGACTGTTAAAGGCGGTTGATAATGATGATGTTATAAAACTATCTATTTACCACGCGTGTAATTATGGTCATAGCGACACTTTATGTGGCTCTGGGAGGATGATTGGTTGGCTGCTAACAAAAAGTTTTAAAATAGTTCCCAAAACATCATATTTAAAAATCAGGACTGACAATATAATTAAAGTTACAATTTTTTTTTAAGAGTTTTTAAGTGTCTGATAAAAGTTTCTGCTGACGGAAAGTGTCTGGAAATATTAATTTTTGATTTTCAACAATATTTTCTAAAACACGCAAAAATCATCACTAAGAATTTGAGAAAAAAAAACCGTCAGTCGAACTCGTGCGCCGAGGGTTCCGTACCTACCCAGATTTAACGTAGTTTTTTGCGAAAATTTGTAAGTACCAAAATTTATCTTAATTTTTAACTTTTTTATTTTAATTGTTATTGTTATAGATATTTAAACACCTAATAGGGACCATAGACCTCAGTAGGTATCTGGTATAACTTGCTCGGTCTACCCGTTCCTGAGAAAATCGGTGGTGACATACGGACCGACGGACAGACGGACAGGCGGACAAGAAAGTGATCTTATAAGGGTTCCTTTTTCACCTTTTGAGATACGGAACACTAATGAGTATTATTTTTACCTGCTTTAAGCAACTAGTACCTGACAAATGGCCACCGGGCCAAGCTAGCAGGTATGCATACACTCAAAGTACATACTAGGGCACCGTCCACACAGCGATATTTCACCGCGCGTTTATTTTTTCGCGTTCATTTTGTATCAAACACAGGTTTTGCCGCGCAATTTTTTTTTCCGCCAGTGCGACAGAGTTTTGTGAAATAAAACGTGCGGTAAAATATCGCTGTGCGCACGGGGCCTAACACTACTTTGTCCTCTTGATCTTGCTCTATAAAACCGTACTTCATACAATCCACACTTTCTACTACTACTGTACGGTCATGTATTTTGACAATGGCACATCTTCATCTGTCGATTTAAAGTTTCAGATCTTAGACTGCTCTGATCCAAAGTCAAAAACATCTTAGTGTCCCAAGGAAATAAATGTCTATTATTACTACAATAATTTAAAAAAACCGTCTCCGTCTGGACTACATGAATGATGATTGTAAATATATGCAAGAAACGTCAGAATGGTAGATGAGTGATTATGGTATAAGTAGTCTGATCATCGTAAATTAAAACTTTATGATATATAGCCACGAGCTAAAGTTATCTAGTACTGTAAAGATCAAATATTTCTAAAATATTTTCTTGATCTTGGTCGTTGTATAGATCACCACCCGTGAATCTACAACTAACGGCTAGCAATTAATACCAACCATATAGGAACATAGATACTCCGTAATCAATATTACCTAATTTCTAATTTATCTACATACATATATAAAAAAGGATATAGATATAGTTACTTTTGTTTTGTAAATGTTTTTAGAAAAATTTAGATTTTACTCTTGTAAGGATTTTGCAGTTTTTTTTTAATAATTTTCTGCTTCTTTCAAATGCGTTTTACCTTAAAGGCAACCCACACTAACTCATAACCAAAAATGTACCTATTGAACCATAAAGTTAAAAAATGATTACAAATCCGATCATCTGAAAATTATATATTAATTTATTAATGATATTAATGTTAAAAGCAGCAAATTAAAATAATAAACGAAGAGATGATGCAGTCATTTTATAAAACAAAATAAAAATAAAAAAGGGTTTTAGCTCTTGACAGCAGCTTCGCCCGCGTGTATGTCAGTTATCTCGGTAAAAAGTAGCTGTTACTTGCTGATAATGTAGCTTTTCATCGCTGAAAGAATTTTCAAAAGCTGTTAAAAACAAATAAACTAATTTTCATATTTAATTATAGGTACTAAGTATGGAAGTACCTATGGATATAGTGCTACTGTTCCTTAAATTGTGTTTTATAATTATAAGGCAATTCATTGCCTTACCTAAACATTGCATGGAATCGAAACAATAAATACCTACTTATAAATAGAAGATAGGTTTGAGAAATAAAACAAATTTGACCTAGTTTACATTAAAAAAAACTTCATTTGTAACCCAATGTAAATAAAACAAACTAAATCATGTTATACAAAATTGGCTAAATTTCAATAAGTACCTAACCATATTTTTTCACTTTTTAAATACACTTTTATTAGCTTAGTATATATACAGGTATTACGGAATCTTCGAACGTGAACCCACTTCAAAACGTCGAATTAAATTGAAACTTCGTATAGGTACTTATCAAGGACAGATGACAATACAATAATTTGATAAATCAAAAAAAAATGTTTAATAAAACTAAAAAGCACGCGTTTGTAACTAGCCGAAACGAAAGCGTGGGGTGCTTTTCAACATATTTTACAATACTTTACTTTTACCAATATCTGTCAATCAAATATTTTCAATGAATTGAGATCTGTGCTAGATCTCAATTGTAAAAATATTTTCCTACGTATTTTCACGATAAAATGATTTTTCTGTCTGAACTTATAGTATTTAGTTTAATATAAAATTTAATTCTACAAAAAAAAATTGTTCAAAAAAATCCAAATAACACTCAAAGAAAAAAAAAACAAAAACGTACGAACTAGAAAAACAAACAAATGTTAGCTAAGTATTTATGTACGTATTATTTTTTTATATCACTGAAACAGTAGGGCGTTATCTAAAGGAGCAACGAACAAGGGCACTGTGATAGTTCATTTAAGTTTTCAATAGACGTTCATCTCATTGTGGGCAGATAAACAGGAGTCTCGCGTGCGTTGGGAAGCAGGAGGAACTCGGAGGCTCTGCGGCGGTGACGGGCGCTGTGGGGCGGCGCGGGCGGTGGGCGGCGTCGGGCGGTGACGTCAGCCTCGGGGGGGCAGCGCGCCTCACGATTGGCGGAGCTGCGCGCGCCGCTACCGAATATGGGACCGCGACTCCATTCATAAAACTGCGATGCGGGGACGCGCGTCGCCAGTCCCCTTCGTACCGGCTGTGCGAGAGGCCGTTTTCACGCTGGCGTTGTTCGTAATTCCACTCGGCCCGTGGGCTGAGGAGCAGGTGGTGCCGGACGGGATGGGCTCAGATGTGGAGCCCCCGACCGGCCCGCACCTGCTCTCCCTAGCAGACGTGAGCGCACTAGGATTCGACTGTCCGCTGAAACCGGTGCCTATGCCAATAGCCGGTCCCGGAGCGCCGACCGACCTGAATACACCCGTCACAACTTCGGACCTACCTGCTTTCTTCCCGACGCTGTTGGATCCGCCGTCAATATCAGGTGCGAGTCCATGCGTACGTGTATCCCTGCTGCTGGAGATAGACCCGACGCCTGCCGACGGGATTTGGCGTCGAGCCGGCCACCGACCGATAACGTTGTAAATAAACTATGCGATCTCCTCGAACGTTGGTGTGTCCTTCGATGCCCTTCACGATTCGCAGTGTTCAGTTTTAAAGAAACGGTTACCGCGACAGCCTTCTTTTCGGGGTGTGATAGAGATGGAATTATCCCGGCGCGCGATTCAAGTTACAGTGCCCATTGATAAGTTAAAGTGAAATGGAAAGTTCAGCGGCCCATATCATATGGTCGGATCGATACGGGAAGCTGAATGGAGCTGTCCTTGTCAGCACATTCTACGCTATGGCACTATTGCTTACGTGATTATGCCGTGTTTAACGTTTATTCGTGTTAAAAGTGCGGCGTTTAGTTATAAAACTGCGATTAGGTGATATCTGTATGGGTAAATATACATAGGATTTTCTTGTTCATTTTTTTAAATGAAACGATAAAAATCACTTAACAAACTGAAATTTCTTGACTTTACTAATTCTGTCGAATGTTCATTTTATCATTATTTTATAAAATGAAATTTCTTATAGAATTTTTTTGGTTGTGTAGTGTCTACAGTATTAGTTTCATACTACATACTTAATTATATGGTGCATAATTATGTTTTTAAACCATTTATACTTGCTATCAGTGTTTTTAATTTAAAATAAATATTATCTGTAATAGCCTACGCGTTTTAAATTGATGTTTTGATTGAAATATTCTGAGAATTTATTTAGTATCATGATATTAAAAACTATATAATGTATTAATTTAAAAGTTTTGCCATAAACATCATAGCTCATATAATGAAAAACCAACAATATTTTTTTAATTCATTTTCTTTGATACAACTAGTTGCTTATAAATAGTTATAGGGATTTGCGAAAACATTACAGATATTTTGAGTAGGTAACGGTCAACGGTCACAATTAAAGTTTTGTCCAGATAGGCTATGAAGATACGCACTTATCGACTTCCGACAAATGTTATTATCGATGCCGCCGTGCTACTGCCTTCCGCTCGCGCGTCCCGCTACAAAAACGCAAATAATTTATACTATTCCATTATTTTTACATAGGTACAAACAACCAGCATACAAAGTGGTTTCTAATATGTCTATAACGCTTTTACGATCTTAAAAAGATATCGCCTGTTAGTATAGGTACAACCAGACAAATGGTCCATATTAGTGTACAATATTTTACAGGAACGCTGTAGCGCCGTAACAGTTTTTTTTTTTCAATCAGCTGATACGTATAAATATGAATAATTCTGTGCAGTACCCTATTATTTGAACGCATTGTGGTATGGTGAATATGGAAATATAAACAAATATGAAAATCAGTAAATTCAATAAAATTATTATAGCAACTAATAGGTACTTACATGATTAGTAATAATCAAATGTTTGTTTTTGTTTAACTGTACATAAAATATATAATTTTATATATAAAATAAAAATATATTTAAATATTCAGAAACTGTTTTACCATACCAGACTACGTACTTTTTAGTACCTGCTTTAATACCTATTCATTAATGTTGTTTTCTATACTGATAGGGATTTTCTTTTCTTAATCTTGTTTTCTCTTCATTGTCTTTTTACCTTTTAGTCCTTAATAACGGACATACTGGCACACATCAAAACAATGTTGTGGTATATTTAATAGTGCCATTGTATCTATCTGTGAATTGCAAAAGAGTGGCCATGAGTTTGTTTGCTCTTTCTTCTCATAAGGCTCAACCCCTTGGAAACGGGCGGTTGTAGATCGGCACAGGCATATCATTGATTTTGTATGGGTTTGATTTTTGTTAAATTTATTTGCTTACCTTATGACAAAACAGAGATTGTTGCCTTTGTGTGTGTTGATCTATGACTTTAGAGTCTACATAAAAGACGATTTCAAATTATTTTTTTTGAAATAAAGAGAGTTTGAGATAATGATAATAATATATTTGTCTTGTTACAGGTACACTACCAGGCGATGAATTATCTCTGGGGTGTTCACCACGACGGCATAAGCATGAAGCTTCCTTATCTCCCGGTGCACGCGCGGAGGACGCAAGTAACGCGTCAAGCGCGAGCACGTCGTTGTATGGTCCTCCAACCGGCAATGCCGGCAAGAGAGCGCCATCGCCGCCTTTGCAGTGGCTACTGCCACCGGGTCCAGGTCCCGGCAGCGTCGACAAGTACTTCCAACAGGAATATGAGGAACGCGTCGAGTTACTTCCTCCTGAGTGCCAGACTTACTGCCCTCCTACACAAGCCTGCGGGCCGCCGCAACACTGCGAGTACCGCCCACCGCCGCAACCTCAGCCCCAACATTCATGGGACACACAACAGTATGAAACAGCACCGCAGCCTACTCCTGGACCTTCGGGTTTACCTAAACGAGAACCGTACCCGAGCCCGGCTGGCCCCAGCGACAGGCCCGTCCAACTCGCTGAGTACAACCCGTCCACCAGTAAAGGTCATGAAATACTATCTCAAGTATATCAACAAAGTGCCCAACCATTAAGGCTCGTGGCAGTCAAGCCACGCAAGTACCCTAACAGACCGAGTAAAACTCCTGTCCACGAGCGTCCATATGCGTGTCCCGTGGAGGGTTGCGACCGTCGGTTCTCACGATCGGACGAGTTGACGCGACATATTCGCATTCACACAGGGCAGAAGCCGTTCCAGTGCCGAATCTGCATGCGTTCGTTTAGTAGATCGGACCATCTCACGACGCATGTGCGTACGCACACGGGTGAGAAACCTTTCGCGTGTGATGTGTGTGGGCGCAAGTTCGCGCGTTCGGACGAGAAGAAGCGACACGCGAAGGTGCACTTGAAGCAGCGGCTGAAGCGAGAACGCGGCGGCGGTGGGCCAGCTCATCACCACGAGCCGCACCCGCACTCGTCGCTCTAGCATCTGCTGCCGGCCGCGGCTGGACCCTCCACCGTGGCTGCTGACTACAGCAGTAGTGATTCCTCCGCGGATAACGATAATTGAACATTTTTATACTTTCACGTTGAAGTTATCGAATAATTTCATCGCTTAGGTGTAAATGAATTGTCTTTAACAAAGCTTTATTAACTCTACATTTGTAAATTCACTGAAAATTATATATATATGTGTGTGTCTATATATATATATATATATATATATCTTTTTATACATATTTGTAATTATTACGATAAGATTAGGTCAACTGGATGTATTTATTTAATTAGATAGGGTAATCGAAAAAAATGACTGGGAACAAAAGGTAGATATGCGATACGGCCTAAGTGTCCAGTGTACGTGTCGATAAGTTTCTTCGTGAGTGAAACTCGTGCGCGCGCCTGCGCTGTGCGTGTGACGATATTTGAGTCACAGTCGTCTCGTAATGTTAACACATATCTTTCTGTCCGACGGTAGCAGTCCAACCGATAGGCTTAATACCAGTCTGCCATAATCTCTAACAGATATCGATTAGATGAACGTGATGGGTTGCCATGTTCTACTGTTAACTAATGTCTTGACTGAAACTGACGTCTTTTTGCGGTATGGACTGTACAACAAACTAATGTTATCTATTAAAGGTATACCTATTATGACTAGGGCTACCTACTTAAGTATTGTAGCCATATTTATTAATATTCTTATATTTCAAAAAACTAATTATGTACGTGAAACTGTGCCATTAATTTAACTTTAAAACGTGCCACTGCAATTTTTATTTACAAAATATGTAATAAAATAAGTATAACATGACTGCTGAATAAGTTATAATTATAATTATTTCGTTATACTATATATCTAGTCGAAGATAAAGTATAAACATGAGAATGTCGACTATTAAGCTCGTATTGATTTACAGATTAATTTCTGCCATTACTATCGTGTATATTTACGTTTCGACAGCTGCTGTCATGACCTTCTCTTGCTCAAAACGTTTAATTTAACTAAATTTGCTCAATTCTGCTTCTTTTATATACTTAGCTAACTCTATCATGTTTCCGTGTTGTCCACGTGTAGGACGCTCCACTTGCATCATGTATTGCTGTCTTGTCCTTTTCTATGTCGACTTGTTCAGTCATTTCAAATGACGTTTTCCCAGTGGTATATATTTTTATAGTGTACGTATTATTACATAGACTAATATAGTAAAAGTTTAGTATGTAGAGTTTAAATTATGATCTCTTAATCATTAATAATTATTTTCAAGTGTAGCGAAGGCCCTTTTATTTATAATACTCATAAGTTTCTAAAGGTGTTTACCGTAAAAGATTATTTTACCGGATTTCAGTAATTGTGATGACTTTATAAGACTGTCAACAGTAAGGTGGAAATAGTTTTGTTCAGCAAGCGTATGAAAGCATAGATAGTGTAGTAGTTATCCACAAAGCCAAATTTATACTTCACCTTCCCCCTTATAACATAACAGCGAGCGTTGCAGGTACTAATATACCTAATTAGGTATTTGTCATTTAAACAATTCAACAAAAATGTACTGTTCAGAGGATACTCTCCATAACGCAAATTTAATTTCTGTGTCTGAGCACAACGTTGTGCACAAATTAGTATTAAGTTTTGCCATTAAGTCCTAAATTTTCTATGGAGTCGCCTTCACAACTTATGTCACTTATTTACCATTGTATATCACATCATCAGTGTCCCTTACTGTAGACATCTTTGTTAGAAAACCCACTTACTCATCGTTTTCCTTAAAATAAGAAGTAACTCAATAAATAAAGCAGACGTAAAAAATTAGATGTAAAACCTAAACTATTCAATTGCCAGTAATCAAACAGTTATAGAAATACAGGGTGGGCCTTTAGTAATGTCGGTCGGACAATATTATTATTAACTTTTGCACCTACAAACTAATACCTACAAATGGGCAGTAATTTACAAACCAAAGTTTCTTTACACAGTCGGTTGTAAATCCCTAAACACATTCAAATTAACAAAACCAACAGAGTTATTATTACCGTAACTTGCGTAGGTATCATTGATTACTTGGTGCTTTAGTAATTTACCAATCACCGTACCGTACGTACGTATAATTTCTACATTGGAATATGTACTTCAACTTGGTGCTGGTTTTACTATGAACTTTGTTTTCGATTACCTATCACATAGCATTGTCACTAAAACAACGCCGTTCCCAGTTGTTCAGTTGCTTTCATAACGTCCATAGGATGAAGTTATTGGTTTAGCTTGCACGCGTCAGTAACGCGTGCTACTCTGCATCCCTACTATAAGAATGTGGTGTACAAGGTTATAATGTTTTTACTGTTATAGAAGGGACGAAGTCTCCGATAGACAAAGCTAGAGTAGATATGTATTATAAAGAGTATTCATGTTAAATAAAAGAGTGAAATTTGAAACGGAAAAGACTAAATTCTTACACATTTTACATAATGTTGCAACGTTATTGATATACGGTGTTTGTATTAGGTTACGAGTTACGACTTGCCTATTTATTGTAGCCCGATGCGACAATTGTACGATTAGCAATGAGTGTTACTGAACAAGAAACTACAAAAGCAGTATAATCACACTCACATTCCATCACCTAAAAATGAGTTAAAAAATATTGGTTAATTGTCTCCATTCTGTAATCTAGGATATCGACAGTCATTAATTGTTGTAAAATACATCTGTTCAGTATTCCTCGTTGCGGATCGTAAGTCGCAGGTCGGATGGTGGCGCGACTTTGCTTTGTTGGAACCTATATAATTTGACTTCTTCATAACATGCAACCCCGAGCTTTGATGCCTCCCATCATCAGAACATTTCACGTTAATAGGTATAGCTCTTAAAATTAATCGTTTAAGTAAATACGATTTCTAATTTTTATGGTGTTCACCTAATAGTGAATGAATAGGGATTTTTGTGAATGTTGTGTATGATGGTTATTATTTAAGCTATCTTGTATTTCACTTGAGTGAAAGATGTTGTTGATGTTCTAAAATATTAATAGTCATAAGTAGGTATTGTTAAAACTCACTAATTTTTACTAAATTCTATTTAATTAAAATATCTGTAAATACACTAAAAATTTGAATTTAATGTGTATATAAGAGAAAAGAAATTTTTATTTAATGAAACCACCTAAGGTGTGAAAATACAAATTGTTGAAAATTTGATCCTGGAGTTCATATTTTAACACACCCTTGACCTTTACAAAACAAGTAGTTGTTCCTGGTTAAGAACACCTACCAGTATAGACACAAGGATTAAAAACGAGAGAGAAAATATTACGTCTATATGAGTAGGAATCCATTATTATCACCTATTATTTATTTATTAATGTTTAACAAGTAGCTCCAATAGCGCGGCGGTGTAATGTAGAGTAATTAACGGGTCCTTAGGTTTATTATCTTTTACTTACTTTCTTGCTATTTACAGTTATAATTTCATGATTTTTCTTTTTGGATTTCAATTCCTTTCGATTTGCCTTCCACGGTAAATGTTTAAACTCAAACAACAAAACATTCAACTAAATGGATGGATGGACTAGGTATCGCTGGTAAAATTTTGATCTCGACAATGAACCCATAACATAATAACAATGAATTGCAGTGAAAGCAGAACTATTTCAAGCCACGTCCGAATTAGCAGCTGCTGAAGAGTTTTAATATAATATTGTTTCTTATACTGTAAATTGCAAGGATGAACAAGTTTGGAAGTGTACCTATCGTATAAACTTGCCGAAAACCAAATCAACAAATCTGTTTTGAAGTTTGCTTCACTCGTTGCGTTAGCACACGAGTTAGTATTTATGTTAAAACAATAAGTTCGGATTTTCGATTTCAATTTTTTTTTCTGTTTAAAACTGTAATTATTAGGTAAGAAAAGATCACTTTTTATTTAAAAGCTTTCGATATACCAGTTTGTGTGCCATCAATATTTGCCATACTTGGATGGGTTGTCTTTTAAGAGATCATCACTAGATATTTTACACTAGATTAGAGTAGCTATTAAATTACCATAAATTGAAACCAGTTTATCATGGAATAAAAAAGATCTGTAAGCTTATAAGTGCCATCTATATATGGTAATATAAAACAGCAGGATTTAGTACCTTGACTGACCCTATTTTTTAGCTTGAAGATTATTAATACCACTGACATCTGTCGGAGTACAGCGATACAAGCGATAAATAGAAACGACATTACCCCATGGCTGCATTAGTATGTATAGTTGTCGAGAAAGGTCACTAAAGACTATTTTGAATGAAAGAACATATTTACAGCGTCAATAGAGGGCGCAAATATAAATTGTAATTCTAAATTCAACTTGAAACCGATTGTTCTCAAACGTACTGTTTGTAAACAAACTCTTCACTAATTTTATTTCTTGACTTATTAGTGTATGGAACCAGGAATAATTATAAATTCAAAATTACTGGGTAGGATCAGGATTTTAGTATGCTAACTCATGTCATGGAAAGTGACGATGAAGACAAACATAGAACACGCCTATCCAACAAAAATCTATTAATTTTACGCTTGAATCATCTAGAATTCAATTGTTAGGAAAAAAGAATATAAAGTAAAATACCATGTGGGAGAGCCATGCTTCGGCACAAATGGGCCGGTTCGACCGGGATGATACCACGGCCTCACAGAAAACCGGTGTTAAGCCATTCTTTCGTTGCCTGTCAGTGAGTGAGTGAGGTTACCGGAGCCCAAATCCCCCCTCCCGCTGACTCGAGCGGGAGGGACTCCAAGAGCAGCAACGCACTTGTGACTTTTGAGTTGCAGGTGACACGGCTGCTTGTTTGCCCCCTTATAACATAAAAAAAAAAATCATTCCAGACTTTAGCGAACAGGACCAGAAAGGAGCTGTGAAATCGTTTAGTTCGACTTTCTGGTGTACCGGCAAAGAATAGTTGGAACTTCTTTCAGCGTCCTATAGTCCGATGAAGGAATAGGTTCCAAGTGATCTGTCGCATACTCAAAGTGAATCCTATAAAAATAAATAAACAGGTGACTTTAGGACCATGCTCGAGTAGCTCTATATATTTCTATTTTTATTTACATATTTTTGCAATTAAAGTATAATTTCATTTCATTTCATTTTATTTCATTTCAGCCCTCTCTATAGCACTTAGAGAGATGCCAGACGGGCGTTGCCGGTACGCTGCGATGGTGCAGCGACGACCGAGCGATGTCGCTCCGTAGTTCTACATATCGTCGCCCTAGTGCTTATTTGTTCTAACAACCAATTTATCGAAAATTAACTTTAAATGCAGTATTGGTAAGACTTAAATTTCACATCTGTTGGTCAGGAAGTTTTAAAACTTTTAGCATTTAAAACAACAAAAAAAACATTTGAATGTTATTTGTAATACGATACTTTACTGAATATTTTGTCCAGTTTTTGTTCTATGTCCTACGTCGTAAGAGATATTGAGTGCTTGAATGTTCTATGTCCATCGACCAATCACAGCCAGCCCACAAACCCATGTCTGCCATTTTGTATGATTTGATTCCGTAAATGGCGATATCACAAGAAAAGCTGAAAATGTTGATAAAATCATTTAATTTATTGTGTTTTGTGCTAAGATATTTTTTTAGAAAAATACCTAATTATGTCTGGAATATATTACAAACCAAAAATTATATATAAGCATGGACGTATTAATATATAGGTAATATATATATATTACAAACTAAAAATTTACAATTTACTCTGTGCTAAAAATAGACAGACGCAAACTTACACTGAAGAGTAAGTACTTTTTAATTTATCCTCAAGCCGTTATGATTTTGAAACGATGTTTTATTTTCTCGTACGGTGAGTGAGGTTAAAAAAAACCTGTACGATTTTTTTAAATTGTCTTCCGTACAAACCGTGTTTTGACAATAACATATTTTAACAACAAAATATTTTATTGTAAAAAATATTTATCCAAGTCGGTCGAGCCGTTCTCAAGTGTTGCTCCGTCATAACATATATGACAGCAATTGATTTTTGTTTTACATAGATATTTCACTGGCCATGCCTTCAAGGTATGTTTTAATTTAAGGTTTCTTTATGCTTGACATAATAAATAAAAAGTTAAAAAAGGTGTACAAGTTTTTTTAATTATTAGCACCTTAACTCTTAAAAGTAAAATAAATAATTCAAAACACAATCATTAATGCTAATCAGAGTGAAAATAAATGAACAACTGTATATTTGGCACTTAGATCAAATAGGCACGCACAAATAGAACGGTCACTTTGTGCTATATCCAATGAGGTACCTAGTGGTCTAACTCCACATTCGTAATTTCGTTTATGCATTTTTATTCTATCTCTAGAAAATCTGTGAAATAAGGTATATTTAGTTACCATCAGTAGATGAAAATTATAACCATCAATTCATTGGTAACTCATGTATTGAGAAGACTTTCAAATCTTGAAGCCATGGTTTTTTTTTTAATAGAACAAAAAGACTCGCCCGTAAAGGGTTCCGTAGCAGCAAGTAACTAAAATATGAAAGTTCTTGTAGTTCGTTGTAACTTTTATCGAATTGAATTTTGATTGAATGAAAGGTAAATAGCGGTTTACGATTTATGACATATTAAAAAAAAACTACTTACTAGATCTCGTTCAAACCAATTTTCGGTAGAAGTTTGCATGATAACGTACATCCTATATTTTTTTTAGTTTTATCATTTTCTTATTTTAGAAGTTACAGGGAGGGGACACATTTTACCACTTTGGAAGTGTCTCTCGCGCAAACTATTCAGTTTAGAATTTTTTTTTATTAGAAAACCCAATATCATTTTTGAAGACTTATCCATAGATAACCCATACACGTATGGGTTTGATGAAAAAAAATATGAGTTTTAGTTGTAAGTATGGGGAACCCCCAAAATTTATTGTTTTTTTTCTATTTTTGTGTGAAAATCTTAATGCGGTTTACAGAATACATACACACTTACCAAATTCAACAGTATAGTTCTTATAAGTTTGGTAAAAAGTGGCTGTGACATACGGCCGGACAGACAGACAGACATGTCGAATCCATAAGGGTTCCGTTTTTTGGCATTTGGCTACGGACCCCTAAAAACCTGTTAAATTCACCTACTCGTAATGGTAGATAGAACAAAAAAGCACTTAAGCGACGATATGACATGCCACACGGTGCGTTGAAATAATTTGCGGCGACGGAATTTAAAATGCGATGTTGCAACGCAAATCTGTGACGTCGCCGGAAGTGACATTGCCTTGCGACATCGTAGCGCTCGTGTGGCGCTCAGTGTGATGAAATCATTACATTGTAAAGACGCAGCGCACTGGCAATGCCCGTGTGGCATGTCTCTTAGTAATTTATAAGCTATTGGATTTATGTTATGTATGTATGGAATTGCAGTTTTTGACTGTCCTTCCGTCGACAGTCAAAAACTGCAAGTTGGTATTTTGCAGAACTATCCCAAAGATGACTGCAGTATATCATGCATGACCGAACGTGGGCTCTAAAGATATTTGGCATCTGTCCCGAGCTGAATCACCGCCAGACTTTATGGACTAGTTTGCCAAAGTTAAGTTTACACGTGATATATTCTAGATGTCCAGTAATAGGTTAGGATTACCTTGAAAACTTGACGTAAATCGAGCGCCATTGCAAAATCACTTATCTACGTAAAAGTCTGTATTCGCCTGAACGTCACCGAACAGAAAAACAAAGTTCATGATTAAAAAATAATTTTGTATCTCAATCTTTTGATAACAAATAATATAAATTTAAAAATCGTAAGTGAAAAAAAATTTAATTAACAATGACTACTAATACTTACTGCTAAAAAAATCCATACAATAATTAAAAAAGGGTTGCTCAATAAATCATGTTTGTTCTGACTGTAGGTACGTTTTAGATCATATGGTCAACTTATATAATATGTGTATCAACATAAAAAAATGTACTTTCTACACGAGATATTGACGCGGTACCTACACATTAGTATCGCAGGAATGATAAATAGTAACTATGCACTATTGTACTCACTAGGATAATATATGTTTTACATTTAAACAAATAAATAGATCTTTCCTATAGAAGAAACTGAACATTTTATGCACCTAATGCATGTCAGTCTTAGATTAGATTTAGCAACTACAATTAAATCTGCACACCAACTCGTCATATTGGCAAAGGTATTTTGTACTATGTCTAGGACAAGGTACAAAAATACAATCAACTTTTTTATGCCTAATTCATAACGGTAATTTATCCCGAATAGATATCATATATTTAATAGTGTTTAATACAGTTAAAGCCTAATTGTCAAAATAGTAACTTTAAAAAAACAGGCATTCTTTTAACAACAAACTGTTTAATTGTGCTTTGGATGTAAACAATAGCATATAATCACTCCTGTAGTTCGTCTGTACAATAGACAAGAGGTGTCTCCTATGTAAACAAAATTTTAAAGCGAAATGCCGAAACAGCTTGGTCGACCTAAGGCCCAAGTGCGGGTTTTTTTTGACATCGACTCAATCGTCACGGTGAACACGTTCGGCGCTGCGAATGTCGCGCAATGAAATGTTCACCAATCGCAACGCCGAATGCGATCGATGTCGAGAGCGAAGTGGTGTGAAATAAACTAGCACTAGGCCCTGAGAGGGCTTCGTGTAAGTTTATTTCCCATCTATTCGATCGTCACGGTGAGCGCGTTCGGCGTTAGGATTGGCCCGCGCTCAACACAGATACACCAATCACAGCGCCGAACTAGGGCCTCAGATAGGACTTTTTAATTCCAAAAGGTTTAAATGTCTCAATAAATTTCTCACATCTAAAATGGAAAAGGACGGAATTGTAAACACGAAGTGAGGCCGTCATCAGTAAAATCAGCCATCATTCAAACAGACAATGTAAATACGTTAGTTTTATACTTATACAAACATATACATACACAACATATCCTACAAACAACACTGTAAACACAATATTAAATGTAATATAAATCTTTGTCTCCATGGCCGGAAACACAAAACTAAAAGTTTAAAACTTGCGTATCCTTAAAATATTCCAAGACAACCAAACAATAACGTATATCAACCAGTTTTATTGGATTTTATATAAACGACCAATTTTATTATAGACTAGACCGTATCATCAGAGTTAAATGTAAACCGCTCACAAAGTGTGCTACGTGGTTTCTTCGTAATGCTCTTCAACTTTGACAAGATTGGGTTCAGACTCTGAGCGGCGCTTAAGCCCGTCCGCGTCGGGAGACAACGGCCTCTCGTTCACCTCCGGCGGGGTCTCCGTGCTAGCTGCTTTTATGTCTGGCGCACTCCTGCTTACGTCCACCTTCATAATAGAACAAAGAGTTAAATACAGGAGAAATGTAGACAGGTTCATTTGAAATTGGACAAATATCAGTTTACAATAAAATCGATGCAAGCAACAGCTTTTTTCCTTTGTCACACACAGGAGACAATTCACTATAGGTACGTATCAACTGTCTGATACAGAAAGATAGAACTAGTACCAAGTGACTACAAATTTCTACAAATGCATTTGATTTCATGACTACTTCGTGTAACCCAATTACAGCAATTTGTTATTGAGACCAAACTCCATATTAATATCACAAGAAAATTGATTGGAACGACAGATTCCTAATTCAAATAGAAGTAAATTTATATACGAATTACCATTTCTGTTTCCAGAAAGTCGCCAGTTTCCTGTTTTGCTTGTGCATTCATTTTATCATTAAGATAACATACTCCATTTAAATCAATCGCACTATTTGAAAATATCGCCGCGGCACCTACTGACGCGTCCACCAATGGCTCGTTCTGCAATTTGATTTCATTGTATTTGTTAATGTTATATAATTAACCTCTTTGTTTTAATTGTTATAACAAAATGACAGTAGTTAGCACTTTTTAAAGCTATTTATTTTGTGCGATACCTACGGGGAATGACCTTAACGTTTGACAGCTGATTGAATAAAACGTTTAATGCCGGCAGAAAATTATTTTCGATTCAGAATGATGGTTTGAATACACATTTCAGTATTCGTTACACCGTTCCTTACACCCTCTATATCGTCCAAATTTTGCGTAGGATTTCTTGAAAGATTCATAGGTAACATTTACATGACATCAGTAGATTAATGACAAAATAATGTTAGTTACCAGGATCACATTCTCGGGGATAGTAAACTTTAACAGAACCGGTTTCTTTGGAGGTGGCATTTCTGCTTCGGGCGTTCTGTGAATATACGAATTTTCCTTCGAAGTAATATCTTTTTGCTCTCTGAAAAACCAAAACTTTGATGTGATAAACCCGATGACGTAATACATTTTTATTTCAAAAGAGTTCAATATAATTTTGAATTAGAATAAACCCTGACATTAAAAATCTATATATCCTTACTTCTTAGGTGTGGGATGGTAGCTGTCACTTTTATCCATTTGATGCTGAGTTATTAAGTCACACGCCTTTCCAAGTATCACAATTGAAACAAGTATACGTACTGTTATTAGACATAGATATGCAATGATTATCAATAAAATTGCGGCGAATCTGAAAAAAACGTCAAATGTTTTAAACTTAACTTTTTTAAATTATATAGGCATTTCAAATTTATGGATTTAAGAGCGTTTAAGCTGGTAATTGAACTCTCTAGACGAATCGAACTTGTTTTACACTGGGAACGTACTTAGTAATGTCTACCACATTTCCCTTATGATATGATTACAGACTAATATTATTTTAGGCTTATCACACGCTTTTATGATTTACTAGATACTCACCCATCAACCTTTACAGCATGAACTAATACTCTGGTAATCACAACTCCAAGAGGTAAAGGTATGAACCCCATACGGCGCGCTACTAGATCCGAATGATCACTGAACGCATACTTCTGTCTAGTCTGAGCGACGTCATACGCCAAGCTCACTGTGTATTCCCTATATACGCCATAGGGTATCTCATTGAACCTGTCAATATAAGACAGACTTTAAAAATTATAATATGTAGATGATAGGTGAATACGCTTTTTGGTAGAAAATAATGATTGTATGCTTCACAAGGCTGCGAAAGAACAATGCGCAAATAATATAATGACTAATCATATTCTTATATGTATATAATAATCAATGTTAGTTTGTTTGTATTTTAGTTACTGCCGTGCCGTTCATCCGATCATCGTAAAATTTTGCATGCAAGTTGTCAAAGTTACTGCAATTGACATAATTAGACAACTTTTCATCCAAAAATAACCCTTTAGCACAAATTATTATGGCAATTATAATATTTAAATTTCATCCCACATCACATCATCATCATCGCATCAACAGCCTTTAATAGTCCACTGCTGGTCAACTCCTTAGAAAGGAGGTTTTGGCCTACTATACCATGCTGGCCGGACGGGTTCGTATAGAGTTTGTGTCAAGTTTTCCTTCTCTTCACAGTGCTGTAGTCACTTACGACACCCATGGGATGAATAAGGGACTATATTACTACTTTCCACATCTCACGACTTTTGCGTCACTCATAATAATAATATAATAATAATCGTCAGTTCAGTATAATTACTTTCATATAACATTAAGGGATGGTTCTGTCCGAAACTTGGATTTGTAGTTATAGAAGTTTAAACTTTAAGTTTAGAGTAAACGTTTTTCTTTATACACTTCCCCAAAAACCCAATTCTAATCATATTAAAAGGAATCTCGAAGTCCGGCTATGTATTGGAATTGGTATTGGTTGTGGGCTCCGGTTTCCGCATTTAGACTCAAGAGTGGTCCTTTATGCGTCGAGATAGGTTGGCTAGGTGAGCCAAGCAAGCTCCTTCCAGAAGCGCAGAAGCCTCCTGAGGCGTTCACAGGCTTCTAGGAGCGATTTTGTATCAGGAATGATACTTGCCCGTTGTGTGGCCACTTCCTCACATTCCAGGATTACGTGGGCGGCCGTTCCTTCTACTTGCAGATATCCTCTGCAAAGAGGACTGTCCGTCGCATTAATCGTGAATAGTTGTCGGTTCAGGGCTAGGTGTCCTGTTATAGTTACTACAGCTATTCGAATTTAGCAGACTAGCTAAGACTGATCAATCAGCAAGTGAGTCGTGGTGTGACTTCAGTTAGCACCAGTTCTGACTGTCTGCAGCCGGGTGAGTTTTCCACCTCCAGTTATGTGCTTCACGAGTCCGTTGCTTGGCCCAGAACCGTAGTTGGTTAAACGGTAGTGGCTTGCCAACTCATCTGCGGCGTCGTTCCCGTGTGAGTTACTGTGCCTTTTAATCTATTGGAGGAGTACCTCATTTAATGTGGCAAGCTGCTCTAATGCTTGATGGCATTCGCAGACAACACCAAATGCCTTTACCCTCTAATGCCTTTAGGACGCCCATGCTGTAGGTTAGTATTCGGATGTTATAGTAAGCGTAAGCGTAAGTTATTGCCACACATTCGCATTGGAATATATAACTGTGTTGGCCTTATTACAATGCTTTACTCTACGCTAGTGATATGTTCATATTTAGGTCCTGCGAGAAAACTCCGGCCCCAGTTCGTGACATAGTCTTGGAACCGTCCGTATAAATTCGGACTCCGTTAATGCGGATTGATCTCCGTCACTTTCTTGTATCTGAATCTGGTATTTTTTGGTGAAGATATGGTGTTTTGGGCTGCTATTAGTGGTTCATATTCCACTAATTGATCCCATAATTTGGAGAGTGAACCCTCACCCTTATGACATAGACCCAGGTGTCTGAGTCTAATGATCGCCATGGCGGCCTCCTGCTGTATGAACAAGGGAGATCTGGGAGATCCTGGAATTGCTGCAATCTGTTTATGACGGTGCTTAGCTCTGTTCTCTGCCACCAGATAATAGTGACAATTGGTCTTATGATATATTATGTTCTATAGAGAAATACTGCAATCTGTTATGATAGTCCCCAGCTTTTGCCGTGTAGCCGTTTGCATTGGCGGAAGTTAATGCAGGCTTTGTTTAGTTTTTATCGAGGTGCTTATTCCACAGGAGTCTACTGTCCAGTATTACTCCTAGGTATTTGACCTCTTTGGTAAGAGCTAGTTGAGTTCCAAATAGCTAGGGCAGTCTGAGATTTGGTGAGGAATCTACGGTAATTAAGTTGTGTGATGAGTTCATCAATGTTCCATAGAAGGGGGGAGAGTACACCGCCCTGAGGGCATCCTTTGGCCACCACCAGAGGGGAGTCGCTTCACTCACAGTAAATTGAATAGCACCCTGAGATTGTGGAATCAACACCGTTTCTAGACAGAGCTTGGCTAATGCTGGTGAAATTGGTTTTGTCAAAGGCACCCTCGATATTGATAAAGGTGGTAAGTGTTGACCTTTTGTGCTATGTGAGTCAGGCTATGTTCTAGGATTTTGATCGTGGGTTGTCGCGGGTCTTGCTGTATCTTCCGCCGGCGAACCGGGCGGCGGAGGCGCGCTTACCTGCGCCTCATGCCGCCCTGAGTGTGGCCGCGGGTGGACGGGATGGGTTCTCCCCTCCACCCGCATTAGTTGGCCAGCCGCGAGGGGGCGGCGTCCGCGTGTGCCGGACGTCGCCTAAAGAGAGGAAAGATCAGAGACGGAGCCCGCAACAGGAGCGGGCCGGCTCTGGGAGGGGTCCAGAAGGCGATAACTACCTGGACCCCTCCTAAACTGGAAGCGCAAAGAGGGCACACCGTGTGGTTTTAGTCGGTTCGAGTCCGACACACCGCCCCGCCGAACGAGAGCCCCGGCGGGGTGACGGTCCGAGGGGATTTCCACACGTAAAAAAAAAAGGGTCTTGCTATATCTTACCTGGTTATGAAGGCATGCTTGACCCAGTCAATGATCACCTCAAAAGTGAGGACCAGCACACAGTCTGGTGCAAGTATCCAAAACCGTTCTTCTCTCCACATGTATTCCTTCATAGTCTGCAGAACCACTATGAAAAGTAACACAGAAAGATGCAGGCGCTCCCTCACGTCGCTACATGATACTTGAAACAGATTGTTTTTGTCAAATTTTTTGAATACACTGCCTTTTAATTCGACAAACTGAAAAAAAGTTTTTAATTAAAATTACGTATAGAGTATACATTGATGAGTCCATAATTATTTGTTTTTTGCAAGTATAACTGGTTTAAAATATCCCTGAAAATTATACTTACATTATTTGACATCATAATAATCAAAAGGCTTTTATTGTTGGAGTTGAATGCAACATTGAGTGTTGTAGCTTGAAAAAGGACTAATAAACTGTGGAGAACTGGCTATCTGATTAAGGATTTGTAATGATTTATACATAATACAACAATGTTAAGCCTATTAAAGATCAGATAGTTACAACATAATATGGATTTACAATGATGTTCCATATGTATCTAACCAACTAAATTAAATAATATAAATAAATCACTTTAAAGCTGTGTTTTGGTTTTGATTACTCGCAACCAAAATTATATAGAGTAGCAAGTACCCCGGGCTAATATTGTTATTAACCTTTTTCTGAGTGTATTTTCAAGTAGCTAAGGTATACAAGCCCCGATGCAAAATAGTTCATCTAGTATGGAAAGAAGTGCAAAGCGTAAAATATAGAAAGTAAATATTGGTAAAATAATTAAGAATGTTTAATAAAAAGTAAACCAACATTTGAGGAACATTTTAAAGTTTATTTTAACATAACTGAAATTCTTTCATGACTTTACATCTCATAAATTTTTTAAAAAATATTCTAAAAAACATAACGCAAAAGTATTCGTCTACCCTCCTCACTCACGCAAAATAGTTCGTCTACCACTTAGTTGTGTCGCCTTTGCTCTCAATGACAGCTTTAATGCGAAGAGGCATGGTTGCAACCAACGCTGCACCACGGTACTATTATAATACAGTACTGCAACTTCATACAAACGGACGAAACGGGAGCTATACCTACGCGCCTCGATCTCGGGGTGCGCTCGGGGCGCAGACAGTCACGGCTGTACCGCAGTGTCGAACGGACTGCGTGTTGTTTTTTTAACAATAACCGCGCGATTTTTTCTCTAAAAATCATTAATATGACGAGTAGGAAATATTGTGCTGTTTTTGGTTGTATGAATTCGTCAATAACGCATCCAGACAAAAGTTTTTTAAGTTACCTGGAAACTCTGAAAAGTAAGACTATAAAATAATTTTACTTACTAGTACGTAGGTACATAATGTGTGTCTTTTTAATGGATAAGTATTTCCTCTAATCTCACGAAAAAAAAAGGTGTTTGGATGAATAAATAAAGTAAATAGAGTAACGGAAAGTTATTGAGACGAGTGAAATAGGGAGTTACATGCGGTTCTGAATGAATCATGATACGGTAGGTACCTACGTACTTACGCTTGTGTTAAAACTTCGGTGCATGTTTGTTTTGTTACTTTGCATAATTCAAAAAAAAAGAAAATTCTACTTAAAGACGTGGTATTTTATTATTAATAATATATCTTTATTATCTGTGTGTATGAATAATACTAAAAAAAATTTGTTACCGTCTGTGTGTCATTAGACAGTTTTCGAAATTATCACAAAGTGTTTCTGCTGCTACCGTAACAACATATACCACTAAAAACTGGTTTTATTTTCTCGGTATTAACAACAACAGCTAGACTCATATATAATATTTAGATGTTTGAGGGTTGTGATTTTAAAACATTCGTAGTCAGCTGTTCAGCTTTTTAATAATTAATTAATTGGTGACCAAAGAATTTTTGTTTTGAGTTGTTGCGAGTTGTAGGTTATAGGTTAGGTAATTTATAGAGACGTTAATTAGCTGAGATAAAAAGTTACTTACTCGTCAGCTGTTTCTTGCATTCTAGTTGAGTAGGTAGGTGTTGGAGTTTCTAAGGATTGGAGTTTTGTAACGCGTATGGAGAAAGCACATTTATTTTATTTTATAGAAGGATTTTTTCGGTCGCTAATTTATAAGCACGATTGGTTTTTCAAACAAAAAAATGTTTTTTAATTAAATCTACCAATCAAAAAACAACACGCATTTTTATTGAACAATTCCTATTCAATATACAAAGTATTTCATTTATTTATATAAAAAGGATATTTACAATCACAAATCTAAATAGAAACAGAAAGTAGGCAAATATAATTAAAATGCTGGAGACGGGCAGCCCTAACGCATGTTTAAGTACCGCGCGGCTGTAGGCATTTATTTCTATCATGCGGCCGAGTTACAATACTGTATTATAATTGTACCGTGGCTGCACACTCCTCAAGCGTAATTGACTCCCAGACAGCCAAGAGTTTAGCCTTTAAATCGCTCTTCAATCTTGATGGATTTTTACGGAGAACTTTTTTCATTTTCCACCATAGAGTTTCGATCGGCGACAAGTCCGGGCTGTTAGATGGCCATTCGATGCCCTACAGGATGCTTTTTGCAAGTAGCCACGTCTTCGTTGTCCTTGCAGTATGGCAGGAAGCACCATCCTGTAGAAAAGTGAAGGAATCTTGATGCTTAAGTGACGAAATAGAGGGCAGTAAATTCTCTTCCAAAAGGTTTTGATACCTTGCAGCATTGATAGAACCATCCACAAACTGCATACCACCAACACCTTGTGCAGGCATGCAGCCCCATATCATAAGAGACGCCGGAAACTTCACTTTGCGTTTGAGACAATCAGTATGAAATGCCTCATTTTTGTTCTAAATCACTTTTTTTTCCTTTCATTGTCGATTGTCACTTCAAATTTGGACTCGTCACTCCAAATGACACTACGCGACTGATCGGAAGTCAAATTTAAATGATCACGATCAAACTTCAACCTCTTTCTTTTGTACAGCAGTCAACAGTGGTTTCTCCTAAGCGGTGTAAAATCCGTAACCCATTCTTTTTAGGACTCTTTTGCAAGTATCAACTGAAACGTCTTTGTGAATCATGTCCTTCCATTGCACCGTGAGTTCTCCAGCTCGAGCACGACGATTATTTTTGATAATTTTCTTTTCTGTTTTCTACTGCACTTGTGATGCGTGGTCGACCAGTTTTCTTCAAACAAGAAGTCATTCTATTCTTTTTATAGTGCTGAATGATAGATTGGACTGTAGATCTGGGAAGTATCAAGTCTTTAGATATTTTGTAACTTGATTTGCCAGCATCGATCCCACAAACTATTCGCTTTCGAAGCTCTTCACACACGGGTTTGCCACAACCCATTGTTGTTTGAAAACTAATGAAAAAGACAGAATTTATACTGTCTCACTTGACAAATGACACAGAATTACTTTTACAAATTTAAATTATGCAACATAATTGTACAAAGAATGAATAATCTTATTGAACTCACCGATAGACAAACTCTTTTGCATCAATTAACAATTAGACGAACTATTTTGCTTATAACTTCTTCGAATTTAAAACAGGATATGTATAAATTTAAAAAGCTAAAATAGTTTATTGGTTCATAATTAAAAAATGGCATAAGTAACGCGACATATGATAGTAGAACAGCTTAATATTTTATGTAGAGATACAAAAATAATGAAGTTAGAAAAAATCTCACAGAGAAAATTTCACACTAGACGAACTATTTTGCATCAGGGCTTGTAGTAGCAAAAGTTGTATGTCTAGATTTGTTTTGTGAAAAAATTATGAGGTGAATAGAGTGAGTAGCCTTAGTCACTTACGAAATGGTGGTTAGCTTTGTCTATGCCCAACAATTGTTGGGCATAGACAAAGCTAACCATTGTAAATGTTTGCTAATTATCAGCAGCTAAGTAATCGACTTCAACTGTTTAAGTAACCAAGTAATTTACCTTACCATTAACACAAATTCTGTACTAGATTCTATTACAAAATTGAGATAATTTTTTATTGAATTAAATCTCTTGCTTAAATTTTTTAACTGCCTGCTATACCTTTCACATCACACATCCTTTAATAGTCCTCTGCTTGACATAGACCTCTCCTTAGAAAGGAGGTTTTGGCCTACTATACCACGCTGGCCAGACGGGTTAGTAAAGGGGTTTGTGTCAAGTTTTCCTTCTCTTTGCAGTGCTGTTGTCCTGCGTAGTTTGCTTGCTTAGTTGGCTCTTACAACACGCACTTTATGAATAGGGGTGGTGACACTACATATTCTTAATCTGTCACCACACAGATATACCTTTATAAACTAATATATTATTATAATGTGTCTAATCTTTTCTTAATTTCTTGTTGGTCAAGTCAATGTGACAATAATGAATGGAAGCTGTTTTATTACAAATTAAAAGAATACTTTAAAAGGATACACACATAGATCATGGCAAATAATAAATGGGGTATAACTCCCAAGTGCTCCCTTCTTCTGTCTCGGGGCTCTGTAGCTGTCCAAAATAATGCATCTATTGTATCTTGTCCAAAAGCCGAGAATAGTCTGTCACCCACCTCCAACATATTGTAGAAAATATATAACTTCATAACACTTTGACTCTTTACTAAATGGTACATCATGTTTGTATCTATGTAACACATAAGAATACTACACACTAATAATATAAAACCTTTTAGAACATCACATGTTTCTGCTGGTTTCAATGTACTATTGCGAGGATTTGACGAAAAACTGAAATAGAAATGTACATTCTATAAAAACTGTTTTAAATTCATTTATACATATTTTAAAAATCTTACCCAAAACATTTCCTGAAAAGTCGGTTGATAAAAGACCAGAATGCCATTATAAATCTCAATGGGAGAAATGTATAAACAAACAGTAATGAGTCTGCACATTGAAAAAATCCATATGCCATAAACTTTTCTAGCTCTTGAGGAATCTTTATAAAGGAGTAGACTTTTTCCCTTCTCGCTGAAAATCTTTCTTCATCGTGTTCTAGTAAATATCCTCGAGTTAGCTCGACATGCAAGAAAGCAAACAATGACGCTGGTTTTTCTGAATCTGCAAGTATCACAACAAATATTTGTGTACATTTCATAGTCCTAAGACTGAGTGTAGTGGTAGGACGAAAAGTTAAGTTACCTTTATATTTCATTTCCTTCGTGCTTTTATCAAAACTTACATCGGCGGATGAATGTTGAATATTAGATATCGACTTGAAACGTAACCTTTTTGTTTGCTCTTGCACTTCCTCATTTTTGATCATCTTGTCGCCAAAACTTGAAATTGAACCAAAGCATCAATTACACTTACATTTATATTGATTTTGTTTCCAAAACTTTAATTGCGGTAAAAAAAGACTTTGAAAATATATGTATTGACAGATTAAGAATGACAACACTGACAATAAATATTTGACAACACACCAGATATTATTGACATAAGTGACGTTAACCACAAACAAATACAAATTCTCGTTTGTCTACATAGACTACACACCAATGACATGAATTTAATGCTGGACCCGGTGCACGCAACAGACAGGAGTTTACACGACACGACACATTCGGTGATCAACTTGTAGAGAATATACAATAGTACCAATTTCATTAATAAATAAAGAAGTCCTATTTTTGGCCTAAATAAATAGCGACTCCGACACAACAAAGTGCACACCATAGAAAACATGCGTCTTTTTTTTATTTTTTAAATTATTAAAAGCGCAAGGCGATGAGAAGAGACTGTATATCGTGTTTTAGCTGTTTATACTGTTGTGAAGATTAATTTTACTTGGTTAACTGCACCTATTTTGATTGATTTTGTGTCACACACACATCACATCAACAGCCTTTAATAGTCCACTGCTGGACATAGGCCTCTCCTTAGAAAGAAGGTTTTGGCCTACTATACCACGCTGGCCAGGCGGGTTGATTTTGTGTGACAGCGTCAAAACGAAAATAGAAAACAAAAGTAAAAAGCAAAAGAGATGAATGTGATCATCAATGTTTCTGTTCAAAGTATTGTATTACACATTTTTTATGTTGAAAGCACTCTTGAATCTTAGTTTATTTGCTACAACAAACCCAAACCCACTGAAATTTACAACAGGTTATGGGCCCAGGGCAGCTGTGAAAGGGTTTTGTTGCGCAGTTATCGCACAGCAAGCCAATGTTGAGTAACGTACACGCAAGTCGCTTTAAGTCAGAAAATCGCCACGAAAGTTTGTAAATTCATTTTGTTTATTTAAAAGTTGTCAGAAGTCAGTCAAATTGTAAGCAAAATGGATACTGTAAAATCTCAGTTGGAGATGCTAAGTGAAGATAGTCAGGGAAATGTCAATTTCATTTCATGGCGATTTAAATTAAACTAAATCTAGCACTAAAGAATAAAGACCTGTACGACATTGTGACAGGTGTGAAAGACAAACCAGCAGATTCTGTGGCAGAAGGAAAGGTTTCAGCTTGGATAAAGAAAGATGAAGCTCAAACATTGATAGGTTTAAATGTAAACAGTAAGATAGCGAACAAACTGTAAAACTGCCAAAGACATGATGGACAAATTAGTTATTTTATATGGCACAAAGACTGATGTAACTTTAGAAACGTCTCGAATTAAATTCTTTACCTTTGAGTATGATGAAAGCAAGTCAGGAGTAGAGAATTGTATGGAGATTATGGATTCGGCTGATGAAGTGTCGACTGAAAATGATCCTATGAGAGAAAGTTGGATCATGACAAGGATCTTGAGTGTCTTACCACCAAAATTGGCGCATTTCAGAACATCATGGAACAACGTGACGTAGGTCCCTACAAAAAACTTAGATAGTCTCATTGAACGTTTAAGGCTTGAGGACGAGCAACTTAAGAAATCGACGACAAACGCAGATAGTAGTACCAGCAACGCTCTCATGACAATACGTGTGAAACAAGTACAGTCATCAAGCAAGCAGGACAAGTCACAGCTCGCATGTTACAAATGTGAGAAGAAAGGTCACGTAATCAAGAGTGCATAGGAAAGCCATGTCAGAAAAACATCGAGTACGGCAAGAAGAAATTCTTCTCCGTCGTCACACTCTTGTCAGAGTGGTCGTGGTCGTCATGACCGGGGCGGTGGCAACCTTCACAAATTGTCGCCATTCCTCTCGTACCGTTGCTTGCCTCGTGCATTCGTGGAGTGGACCATTTAGAGCGGTTTTGATTTGGTCTGTCCAGCGCATTGGTGCTCTACCGCGCGCCCTCGTGCCCTCTATTTTGCCCTGAACCACGAGTCGCTCCACATACTTGTCTTCCCGACCCATAATATGACCAAAGAAAGTGAGAATACGACCTTGAACGATGGAAGAAAGACGTTGTTTTATACCCAGTTCTTCGAGGATTGAGACATTGGTTCGGAACTCTGTCCAGGCTATACGAAGCATTCGTCTCCAACACCACATTTCTAAAGCGTCGATCTTCTTTCTCTCACTCTCTTTTAAAGTCCACGTTTCGGCACCATAAAGAAATATGGGAAACACTAGTGCCCTGACAAGTCGCATTTTAGTGGCCTTTGTTATGTCTCTGTTTCTCCATATCTTCCCAAGCCGATCCATGGCAGACCTGGTGATAGCCATGCGCCGTTTGATCTCATCCGCGCATCCGCCATTATTCGATATCAGTGCTCCAAGGTAGATGTATGACTGAATGACGTCGCAATTCGCAATTTTCGTTACTTCGGGCGAGTTATTGTTGAGTCGATCCACAATCATAATCTTCGTCTTGCTGCGATTTATCTTCAAGCCGAAATCAAGGCTCACTTGTTCCATTTTAGTTAGCAGAGATTCCATGTTGCCGATGCTTGTTGCAAACAGAGTAGTGTCATCTGCGTAACGCAAATTGGAGATTTTATAGCCTCCAATAGTGATTCCGTCTGACCAGTTCTCGAGTGCTATTCTCATGATGAGTTCCGTGTAGATGTTAAACAGAAGTGGCGATAAAATACAGCCTTGACGGACCCCGGCACTTGGATGAAATTCACTCGATAATACGTCGTCTGTTCTTACCGATGCTGTTCCCTCTTCATACAGTCTTTTAAGGAGGTGGACAAGGTGTTTGGGTGTTCCCATAGCCAGGAGAGTTTCCCAAAGTACTGTCCATTTTACCGAATCGAACGCCTTCGAAAAATCAACAAAGAAAATATAGGTCGGCTTGTTAAATTCCCTAGCCTTTTCAATAATCTGGCGCACGCTCAAGATCTGCTCACGGGTACCCTTCCCCCTCACAAAACCAGCCTATTCTGGAGCTATCTCCTTGGACAGATAGGATTTTAGTCTTTCATTAAGAATATGCAGTAGAATTTTACTTGCGTGTGGTATTAAGGCAATTAAGCGGTAATTACTGCATATTTTTGTAGAGCCCTTTTTATGTAGAGGTACAAAGACTGTGTGAGTCCATTCCTGCGGCCACGTTCCAGTTTCCCAAATTTTGTTACACAGGGTATGAAAAATATCGACACCATACTCTCCTGAAGCCTTGATAGTTTCAATCGGTATGGCATCCCTTCCTGTGGCTTTCCCGCTTTTAAGGCGTTTTATAGCGGCTCGCACTTCATCTCTCAATACAAATGGCTCCTTTTCTTCGGCCCGGGGTTCTGTCGGGAGATAGTTGTGAGCTTGTGGATCTTCAAATAGCGATTGACAGTAGTCCCTCCACGTATCAGATATCGCACCTATCTCGGTCAGTGGCTCGCCCTGTGAGTTTTCTATAGCCCATGTTTTGGAAGAAAGAGTTTTGGTGATTGCTTTGATTTTTTGATGCAGGTCTCCAGTTTCGTGTCTGTCAGCGTGAACTTCAACTTCCGCACACAAGCGTTGCAGATGGTTGTTGCGGTCACGCCTACAAGCTTCCTGTATACGAGCAGATATTACATTTAGCGTCTTCACGTCTGCTCCTCCAGCTTTCATTCTTCTTCTCTCTTCAACAAGGGCAAGAGTCCTATCGGTCATCCAGTGTTGACGTTTGCGAGTCACTGTAGAGGGTTTGGACTTCAACACGGCGTTCTCAAGTAGCTCCCTAGCCTGACCCCACAGTTGGTCCGGGGATGCCAGCCGTGCATCTAGATCAGTCCATTGATGCCATTTTTGGTCAATCGCAGCCAAGAATTTATGACTGTCTATGGGCTGGATTCTTTTCTGGCTTTCAATCTTCCTAGCGGCTTTGACTTTGAGTTGGACTTTGGCTATTAGTAATTGGTGATCTGATCCACAATCAGCGCCCGGAAGAGTGTGAACATTTCTAATGAAACTTTTCCACCTTGAGCCGATCACAATGTAGTCGATTTGATTTCGATAGTTGCCATCAGGTGAAGTCCATGTATACAGTCTTCTCGGATGATGTTGGAAGAAGCTGTTTGATATCATCAGGTTATTCTCGGTAGCAAATTGAATGAGTCTCTCATCTTTGCATTGAAATCGCCCATTACAATCAGTATCTCCCTACTAGGAATTTTGGCTATGATTCCAGCTCGGTGTAGAAGTGTTCTATGTCAGTGTCGCTTGCTGCGCTAGTTGGTGCATATAGCTGTATGATATTCAGATTGATCGGCTTCGCCTTTAGTTTAATACTTAGCACACGATCGCTCACAGGTGTATATCCTATCACACAGCTACTAGTTTTCCTCGGTATTACAAAGGCAACTCCATTTCTGCTGCTGTCATCGTTTCCAGAGAAGTAGACAGTGTGCGATTCTGTCTGAAAGTGGTCATTTCCTCTCCAATGTGTCTCACTTAGACCACAGATGTTTATTCCGCATCGCTCTATCTCCCTCTCCAGGATATCAAGCTTGCCTGTCTGAAGCATTCCGCGAACATTCCACGTACCTATCTTTTGGTCATTTCGCATCTTCATGAAGGGCATTCCAGTAGTCCGATTTCCAGACGATGCCTGGTTTCCTACATCAGCCTGGCCGGTAGTCCATTTCCCACCGTCTGTCCCGGATGCAGGACGGCGCCGGTTGCTAAGCGGATCACATGGCCACCTCTGTATCTTATTTTTTATTTCGATCATGATGACTTTCTATGGGAATATAGTGCAGTAGTTTCCCATAGCTTTCTGCACCAGACATTTTAGAGGGTATTTGATCCTCAAGGTCGCTGAACCCTCCTCCGACCGGTTTCCCGGTGGGCTTACGGTTATACCGCCATGGTTCGGTCGCCAGAGCCTCGTCCGTTATCTAGCAGGGAGCACCGCGACAGTGTGAGACCATCGCCGTTGGCTATTCATACGAACCACCAACGCGAGCAGGTGAGGTTGACAATTGGGCCGGATATGTTTTTACTACTGCTCTCCCTTACTCCCCAAAAGAAGAAATACTCATGTAACAATTGTAAGCAGAAAGGACATTTCGCAAAGGACTGTCCATTCAGAGAAGGAAATAAGTCAGCAAATGGAATACCAATCAAGAAGGTTTTTTTGACCATAGCACTCTCGACAGTGGACAACGACATCTCGAAGGACAGGGCAATTTCATGGTATCAAGACTGTGGAGCCAGCCAACACATGACGTCTCATCGAGAATGGTTTGTACAGCTTGATGAACTGGACGAGTCCATTCCAATTGTGATTGGAGACGAAACCAGACTAGATGGCGTTGCAGTCAGGAACATCGAAATGGAGGCTTTTGATGGTCAAAAGTTGTATCCAGTGGTACTTGAAGATGTGATCTACGTACCAAATCTTTACTTTAATCTTTTCTCAGTAAGTCAGATGCTTGACAAGGGATATGTACAGAAGGCAAATGTAAAAGAGTCGACATTTTACAGTCTGGATGGCAGGGAGATTGTGGCAATAGCAAGGCGCAAAGGAAATCTTTTCAAAATGATGCTCAGGAGAGAAGAAGAGACAAGTTTGATGGTTCAGTCGATCAAAGTATGGCATGAAAGACTCGCCCATCAAAACTTGAAGTATGTGAGGGACATACTGAAAAGAAAAGGTATCAAGTATGTGTGTGTATGATGACTGGAATAATTATGTGTGCACGGGGTGCTCATATGGAAAGCAACATCGATCCTCACACCCGAACAACCCCAAGACAGCCCAGCAGCCATTAGATCTTGTGCATGTTGACACCGGCGAGATGAACATCCGATCTCTAGGAGGATCAAAGTATTGGCTCATGTTGAAAGATGATTTCACCCACTACCGAACCTGTTACTATATGAAGACATCCCGGTGAGTGAAGCACTCAAAGAAGTGGAAACAAGCAATGCAGGAGGAGTACGACTCGTTAATGGAAATGAAAACTTGGGAACTGGTGAACTGTCCAGAAGGAATGACACCGATCACTTATCGTTGGGTACTTCGACAGAAGGCAGACGGAAGATACAAGGCCAGACAAGAGCATTATGCTCTCACTATTCGTGGATGATGGATTGATAGCTGGTAAAGATGAAAAAGAAATATACAGACTCTTGGGAGAGATAAACAAGGAATTTCAGATCACATACAGCAAGAAAGCACAGAACAAGTTAACGTACTTGGGCATGAAAATCAAGATCTGACAAGGATGGTATCTTCGTGAATCAGCCTCGATACACGGAGAAGATCTTGAGAAAAATGAAACTCGAACAGTGCAACCCAGCATCAACACCCATTGAGCAAGGAATGATCACCAAGAAGACAGACTTCAAGAATGACGAGGCACTTCCGGCAAACAACAACTATCGTGAGGCGATAGGGAGTTTGTTGTACTTAGCTACAATCACTCGGCCAGACATCAGCTTCGCCGTGAACTATCTCAGTCAATTCTGCAACAACCCCATGAAAAGCCAGTACTTGAGAGGGACAACGACAGCAGGTATCTACTTCGGAGGAGGCAAAGACCTCGTGGCATATACCGATTCAGACTTTGGAGGAGACTCAGAGACAGGACAGTCGACGAGTAAAGTGTTGGTGATAAGAGGAGGATCAGTGATCTGGTACTCACAGAAGCAGCGTTTGGTAGCGACTTCAACTGCAGAAGCCGAGTACCGAGCCGCGGTGTCTGTGATTGACGATGAATGCTGGATCAAGAGAATCGCACTGGAACTTGGTATCTTGGAAAATGATCAGCCGATCACTCTGAAAGTCGATAACATGTCAGCTATTCACATGTTACAGAACGCACACGAAGGAAAGACAACCAGAGGAAAGAAACACATTGAATACCACCAAAAGTACATCCAGCAACACGTTGGCAACACTGTGATATTGCAACACGTCGAGAGCAGTAAGCAGATTGCAGACATTCTCACTAAGCCACTCAACCGAAGAGTTTTTGAGATGCTACGTTGTAAATTGATCAAGGAGGAGTGTTGATCAATTGACAAACCTCTTTTTTACAACCTCATGTGTGACAGCGTCAAAACGAAAATAGAATAGAAAAGTAAAAAGCAAAAGAGATGAATGTGTTTTTAAATTGTTTTTCTTTATTCTGTTCAAAGTATTGTATTACACATTTTTTATGTTGAAAGCACTCTTGAATCTTAGTTTATTTGCTACAACAAACCCAAACCCACTGAAATTTACAACAAGATTAATGTATTTTTTAAATTTTATTCTATCACAATACATTTCATGGTTATGTTAACAATTATTAATTAATTATTTAAAAAAAAGGCGTTTCCTTTCATAGTTAAGGAATTTTTAATAAAATTATTACTATTTCCTCATTTTTAAACTTAAAATTTACAAAAATAACAGTTGTATTATTTTGGATTTGTTTACCAACACAGGCCGCTAGCTCTCATACACAACGGACACAAAGAACACCCAGACTCAGAACAACAATTTGTGGATCACACAGTGTTGTCCCAAAATCGAACGGATTAAACCCACAACACTCAGCGTAGTAGGAAGCGGTAAGGCGACTGCTTAAACCACTACGTCATCCGTGCAGTCACAAACATACAAATATTGAACTTATAATAGTGAAATAACAATATCCTAAGCATTTTCCATACTTTTTAAAATTGTATGGTTAACTTACCTGTATACTTCAGGGATGCCGACCGAACAATTCAGAACCGACGGGAGCTCTTTTTCAAGGAATTTAAGACGCTTACTGCTACAGTGATTATTTCGTAATTAGCAATCCTACGAAGTCATAAAAAGTCTTACAATTTGTCTATTACTTAGTCAAGTAAACATTCTAATAACTATTTCAAACAACCACACCTAATTGAATTGACTCATTCTTCTTTAATTTAATTTAATTTTTCCTTCCCTATTAATAGTTTATTACCACTATTATCGACGTATGAGGACGACAGAATGAGTAAAATAAGTCCAACTAATATGCCTATCTGGATTTCTTTGGACGACCAATGCTTTTTTACTATTCGTCAATCGACAATATACGTGGCTGGCATAGTTTAGTTCACATCCCTATTTGTGCACGCTATCACTATCTGCGATTCTCCTTCATTCATCGATGTAAAGTGGAATGGAGTCTCATTGCTTACGTTAGCGGATTTTACTAATTTTAGAATTAATTTATCGTCAAATGTGTTAAAAATTAACACTAATAATTGTATTTACAACTGGGAAGAGAATTGAAAGCTTTTAGTTTTATAAATACCACAATTATGGCTTCGAGTGAAGGGCGAAGTGCTTCGTCAAACTTGCATCAGCAAGACCTAACCAAATTGGTGAGCTATAATTTTTTTATCAAAGAGTTTAATTGCTTTATCCTTGTCTAAATAACTATTAATTATTTGTATTGTGGGTTATCATGTTCTCTCTAATTTGTAATTTAAATAACCTAAACTTTTTCACACATGCACAGAAGTATGTATTCGTGGTATTTATATTATTTGGGTAAGACTCAGTAATTTGTAGTTCATTTGTGTACAATAGTGTTTTTGGTATTATATAAACCATCACTGGTTACAATGTTGATATCATTTACAGGATGTTACCAAACTGTCTGCCTTGTCCCCTGAAGTAATATCAAGACAGGCAACAATTAATATTGGTACTATTGGTCATGTAGCCCATGGTAAATCGACTGTAGTTAAGGCAATTTCAGGAGTGCAGACTGTCAGGTTCAAGAATGAACTGGAGAGAAATATTACCATCAAATTAGGTAAGCAGCTTTTATATTATATGTCTGGTACCAAAATTCTATAATTTTAGATTTCTTACTACTAATGCTATTTTAAGTTGCCTCTATTTTATATAAATTAAATAAGACGGAAGGTGTTCATAAAATTTACAAAATATATATTTTACACCAATTTGTAATTACTATAAGCATTTTATTTTGGAGAAATATTTACAAACAAATAAAATTCATGATCATAAATATATTAATAAATCTTAAAAACATTTATTTATGGAAATTGATTTAGGTATAATTGTTTCTATAAAATTTGTAAAAAAATGACACTGAATTGAGGCATGTAAAGCATAACATTATACTGCTCTGTTTATGTCAAAGGCTATGCAATGTACCATGTGATCAACATATATATGGACACCACATAATAAAACAATAAATATTATTACATGTCTGATGGATATTTTATAAATTAACCAAAACACATGGTATGTTGCAGAGCGCCTGTCCGACTCAGTCATTAAAATGTATCATGAAAGGGCAAATGAAAAAGATGAAAATGTGTTCTTTGAAAAATTGAGAAGAACAAAGAAGAGACATATATCCATTGATTCTGAAGATGAAGATGATACACCCGCTTTAAAAAAACAGAAAAGAAATAGACAAGATTCAGAGGAATTTATTATTGAAAAAATTCTTGATTTTAAGTTCATAGAGGGAAAAGAATACTTTTTTATAAAATGGAAAGGTTGGCCTGACTCTGAAAATACTTGGGAACCAATAGAAAATCTTGACAACTGTCCCGCAGTACTAAAAGAATTTCTTGCCAATGAAGAACTAAAGTATTGCCATGAAATTGAAAAGTTAAAGCAAGAAATATCGTTTGGGGATCTACTCTGTGAAGAAAATTTATTAAAAAGATTTGATGAAGTAGAAGAAGCTGATATTATAAAATTAAAAGATATTTTAGTATTAAAGTTGATTTCAATGATAATTTTACCAGAAGATGAAGAGAAATATGCTACTGAACTAGTGCAAGATGCAAGGGACACCTTACAACTATATGTTTTGGCTAGAAAAAGATGTCAACAACTGATAAAGCTGAGAAAATGGGAAGAACATTTGAATCAGGTTGATAAGTCAAAAAAATTAATTGTTGAAAATACTGTTGACTTGGCTGGTCCACCTGAAAGTTTCACCTATATTAACCAATGTATTCCTGGACCAGGCATCACAATCCCTGATGAACCACCAATTGGGTGTGAATGTACAGCATGTAATTGTCGTTCCAAGACTTGTTGTGGCATGCAAGCAGGGTTATTTGCTTATACTGCAAACAAACGACTCCGTGTTGCCTCTGGTACTCCAATTTACGAATGTAACAAGGCATGCAAATGTTCTTCAGAATGCTGTAATCGTGTAGTTCAAGGGGGTCGAAATATAAAGTTAAGTATATTTAGAACAGCCAATGGTTGTGGATGGGGGGTTAAAACAGAACAAAAAATTAGGCAAGGTCAGTTTCTTTGTCAATATGTTGGAGAAGTCATAACCTTTGAAGAAGCTGAAAAACGTGGAAGAGAGTATGATGCCAATGGTCTCACATATTTGTTTGATTTAGATTTTAATTCCATAGAAAATCCATATGTAGTCGATGCAGCACATTTAGGGAATGTCTCCCATTTTATTAATCATTCTTGCGATCCAAATCTTGGGGTGTGGGCTGTTTGGGCAGATTGTCTTGACCCTAATCTACCTATGTTAGCTTTATTTGCAACACGAGACATAGAAATGGGCGAGGAAATATGTTTTGATTATTTACAAAAATCTTCTGAGAATGATGAGCTTGAAGCTAATGGCAGTAGTAGTGTTTTAGTAACAGAAACAAATGTAGATGACATTCCTAGTGGTTCATCTTGTGAGGATGATATTCCTAGTGGTTCTGAAGCCACCACTGCTATAACACCAGTGTCACCAGTAAAGTCGCGATTTGAAATTCAACAACAAAATAGAGCAATGTTAAGAAATCTTACTGAATGTAAATGTGGTGCAGTTAAGTGCCGTAAATATTTGTTTTGAATTACAAAAATACTCAGTAGTTAAATTTTTATAAATATATACCTATGTATGAAAATATTAAGTTGGTTTGTGTATGCTTCACAAACTCAAAAAACTTCTACACTGCTTGAGCTCCAATTTTAACATGATGTACAAACTACTTCAAAATGGGTTTTATCTAAATTTCCTGTTAGTTTTGTTCCTCATCAACTACAATGTGCCACAGTGAAGCATTCAGGGTACATCTAGTAATTTATAAAAAATAATGAATGTATGAAAACAGTTTTTGCAGTAATATTTTTGAATCTCGTTGACGTTTAGGTGAATTGTTCTAACATATTTACAACAGGTAGTTCTCTAAAAAAAATCAATGAAATAACCATTATTATTGTTTTCTAATTAAACTTGAGGTTTAAATATATTATATGTATTCCCTTTAATCTATTTTACATTTGTTTGGTTAGTATGAGGTTGGTTACCATTGAGATGTATGTATACTTTCATACTTTTGTATTTCTCATTTTAACGAGATGTAATTGTATCTAATATTATTTGAATGCTTTTAAATCACTTTTAGAAGTAAATATAACTAGAAGTTCTAAACACATAAATGTCAATAAATGTAGACATGTGAAAAAGTATTATAAAGCAAAATATAGTCTTAATAAAAATTTAAGACAATGCTTGCAATACATTTTTTTTAATTCAAAATTATGTTTAGATACTATAAAAAATTAATTAATTATTAAATTACTATTTAATACACTTTAATTGCTTTCAAAAGTGATATGTTAATCTAAATCTAATCAATTTTAGTAGAACATACTAAAATTTATTAGCTAAAAGAATCAGTAAAAGTACTGTTGTATTCTACTGTTGTTCTTAACATATACATTTATTTGTAGCTGTAATGTGTTATTATAGATTTTAAAAGGTGCTCAAGTTCTGTGCCTTATGTAATGAAAAATTTAAGATTAAGTATTTTTGATAACAGTTTTAGTGTGGAAAATATCATAACCATGATATGTATTTTTTAAAGATCTTGTGCAAAATATTTTAGAATCTTTGTTAAAAACTGTACTGTTCAACTTGTTTAAGTGTTATAAAGGACTAGCATATAATTTATGCCAATCCTCGTTGTATTGTTTCACTATTTCTGCCTATTCATTGTACTGTTAATAAAATAACTTTATAGTTATGTGTTATTTAGTTACTTCTTAGATTTAACATTTGTTAGGATTTAGAATAGTAAAAAATCGTTATTTTACAAACATAATACATGTTTTTTATTTCTTTTACCATATGATAGTTGCAAGAATGATTTACTTCTTTGTTGTAAAACATTATGAAACTCGAGTTATATTCAATTTAGATAAATAGGTTTGACATTTATAGATTTTATTATAAAATGTTAAAAATTCCTTGTAAGATACAGAATGTTTTTTTTTAGCTGAGTCGGAACTGGGATCTGTTTCTTTGCATACCACTCTAGCTATTATTAGATTTATTAGAGAAGAGAGTTCGTTTCGAATCTTTTTTAATGTTAAACCCATGTATTTTGGTGTTTCAATAATTTGCATTTCAAGTATCCTAGTATAAACTGCAAATAATTATTTTTAGATTTGTCTTATCATGAAAAATAAATCATTAATATTGGTTCCAAATAGCATTAGTCAATCATAATTTTTTCGCTAATTGCATAATGTTTTTCATTATTGCAGTGAAGAAATGAAAATCTTGTTTTTAATTAAAGGTTACGCCAATGCGAAAATCTACAAATGTGACAATCCGAAATGTGCGAGGCCAACAAGTTTTATATCGGGCGGATCATCCAAGGATGATAACTTCCCTTGCCTTAGAGCTGCGTGTAACGGCCGCTTCCAGCTCGTACGACATGTCAGTTTCGTGGATTGTCCTGGGCACGACATTCTTATGGCTACTATGCTTAACGGTGCCGCAGTCATGGACGCCGCGCTGCTACTTATTGCAGGTAGAATATTTATTATTTAAGTTATTAATCATGGCATTGGGACCTTTTCTAGCTTAGCCTAGAGATCGTCATGAAGTATTAAATGAAAGTATATTAAGTGCACTGAAATTTACGATTAACGTTAGGGAAATTGACATAAATGGAAAAAGGTCCGTGGTAGTTGTTCCTGTGGTGACGGATTAAGAATACAGTGTCACCACCCCTATTCATCCCGTGGGTGTGTAAGAGCCGAAAAGCAGCAAAACTACGAACTTTTAATTTGGGCTTAAGGGCTTTGGCTAAAGGCTGTGCGAACAAATTACAAGCATTTACTTGTAACTACCCCATTCCGAACGACATTACACGTCAATAATTTGATGGATGGATGGCAAGTGTCGATATTGCCCATGAGATAGTTTTGAATGTCATAAAAGCATACAACATAATTTGTGGCTAAAGTATACGACATTATTGTATTTTAAGGTGGAGTTGGGTGTAGTTAGTTTCATGTATTATCTATCAATCAATGATTCGAATACTACAGGGAAGTATTAGAAGTGTTTATGTAAAATTTCACCACCCTGCATTCATCCCGTGGGTGTCGTTAGAACCGACTAATGGAACAAACCACGCAGGACAACAGCACTGCAAAGAGAAAGAAACCTTGACGCTGACCCTATACCGATCCGTCTGGTCAGCGGCAGCGTGGTAAAGTAGACCAAAACCTCCTGTGTAAAGCAGTGGGTTGTTAATAGTCCGTTAATAATGATTGATGATGATGATTATGTAAAATTTCAACTATCTAAGCTAATGTCTTAAGGCGTCGCATTAGGTTAATTTTTTTGAAAAGAATATTTTTTGGTTTACGAACAGAACTTTATTTACGAGTAGATCAATTTCTTGCAATACGGGGCTGCTATTTATCTATCCGAAACTGGCCAGTTACAAAACAATATAAAAAAATTAATTATAACTTTTAAAATGAAACTGTTTGGCTGAAGAATACAATTTGTTTCATGCTAGCTGTCATTTGTTTATCCTTTTTCGGCGTCATTTTAAAAATTGCGTGTCTTTATCACTATGGATTTAACTCGTGAAAATTTTCGTGCTATGATTTATTACGATTTTCGGCGAGGGCTACATTTACATTTACTTAGTAGACCGTTCCTCTGTGAGGCTGTCGTATCACTCTGGTCGAGCCAGTCAGTCAGTATGTGCCGTAGCATTACTCTCGCACTGGTAAAATAACCGTTATCGTCTGTCCATTTCTTTATTTATTAGCACTTCTACAATTATAAGAGAAAATTTGGATGATGCGGAAGTATTTTAATTATAACTAGCTTGTGCCTGCGACTTCACTTGCGTGGAATTTGATTTCGCTGCCTTAGTGGGTTTGATTCTCAGACCGGGCAAAATTTTATAGGGTTTTTCTTAAAAAAAAGCTAGCTTAAGTTACTCCTTATATAGACAGCTACCTGGTAATAAAACATTATCAAAATCGGTCCAGCCGTTCTGAAGATGACCCGGGACAAACAGACAAAAAATATTTAAAGTGATTTTTGGGCATAGGTAATCGTGAAAATAACTATGTAAGCATGAAAAAACCTATTATTTTGACATTACAAACAGACACTTCAATTTTATTTATTTGTATAGAAAGCTGTTCCTTGCTACGCTTCGCTATGGCATGTTATGGTTGCTGAAAATAGATAAAAACCATATTTAAAGCGTGTTGTATATCGTGTCAAAATTTTAGCTCAATCGTTGCAAAACATTTATGTATATAACGTATATATGAGTCATTCCGTACAAATTTGCACCAATGCAAAAACCACGGTCACAACACTTTCGAAATTATTACTACTAATTGACTAATCCGATATTTTATAGACTTTATTTTAGCTAAAAGATGGATTGATTAACTTTAAAAAAACATATATAAATCAGCAATTACAATACGATTTAATTAAATATAAAATAAAGTTTGCAAAAAAAATGATAATTTTAGTATGTCACACGTAATATGTAAAAATTAAGAAAATAAATTTTCCCTGTAGATTTCAATGTCAGCTCTTTCTTTTGGTGTATTTTTAAAGTTTGTAATGTCTATTTTAATTTAAACTCTAAATATATATATAATTACATTAATTTAGAATCAAATTCTTGTGAAATATCGTCAACCAACATTTGGGTACACATGGACATTCCACTTTAGTCACGGCTCTTACCCTGCTTCCAAAGTTTGAAACTACCCAAACATCTTTATTTTTACATCCAGGCAATATTACCAGTCGAAAACAACCATTTTATTTCATAAGTATACTGTCAGTTGTGTAGAATCTGTGACGACGAACACGTTTCATCAGGAAGCTAAATAAGATATCCAGTTTAGTTGCGAATTTTACGTCAAATTGGTAAGTTACTTTATAAATATTGTATTATTAATTAAAGCTTACTATATTTGAATATGCAATAAAGCAGTGTTATGTTCTTTTTAAGCGCAAATAATGTTGTTGTTAAGCAAATTTGTAGGACAAAACACGATTCGTCACGTCCATTTAGTCACGTGACATATTAGTGGAACAATTTTCGTGACGAAATGGACACGTAAGGCTTAGTTCATAATGTAATTTAACCAACTTTGATAATTATTTTTTTTTGACAAATGTGATGTGTACCACATAAGTACACGTACTTAATTGTATATTTTTTCTTTTTTTTTAAGGAACTAAATATAAATATTATCCTATTGTATTAAACGAGCAATTCTTATACGTGGTATTATATAAATATCGAAAATGTCTCAAACGATTTTGATGAAACTTTCAGAATAAATATTTTCGGGCTAAAAAAAATAATGTGGGGTGGGGTGATTTTTAAGAAAATTGGAATTATGACAATTTCAAATTAAGGTTAAAAAAAATTGATCTTAACTATTTGAAGTTTGGGATACGTGTATAAATCTAATTAGTTATTAATATGTCTGAACTGATGTTGGTTCCAAATGGTTACCAGGAGTTCTCCGTTTCTGGTTCACGTAAACCCATCGTGTATGGGTTCTTTAGATTTGTCTCAATAAGCACTTTCATGACAAATGATGTTCAGGGTTTAATGTTGGTTCTCCAATACTAGTTCATTTAAATGCACCGAGTTTCAGCTTGTTATTATGTAGGTTAACAAATGGCGTTACTATTTTGTTCTACATATGGTTCAATTCAGCCGTATGTTGAAAAACTTGTAATTTCAAAATTTTGCTAGAAAAAAAAACGCATGTAAATTTTAATGCAGTTAATCTTAACCTTTTAAGATGAATTAATGCTTTGGTGTTATTTTATGTAACTTCTATAATGCTATTTTATACTACATTCGGCTATAAGGCGGGAAAAATATTCTGTTAAGATTCTTCCAATCTAAAGTATACAATTTGTGTGTGACATTCTGCTTACCGCCTTGTGGTTTATTATACCATGGAGCTTCATGTTTCAGATTATTTATTATTACTGTATTTTTTTTATTTCCAGTGATGTATTTATTTTTTCCAGTGATGGTTCTAACAGCTGCTGAGCGTGCTAAACGCTATAGGGATAAATTAAAATTAAATGCAGAAAAATATGAAGAGCTAAGAAAAAAACAAATTGCAAGAGTGAAGAAAGGACAAAAGAAAATAAGAGAATTAAGCGAAACTGAAAAAGATGAAACAAGAAAAATCTGGCGACAACAGAAAAAGAGGCAAAGAGAAGCCAAGAAACAACGTGAACAAGAAGAAATTGCTGCAACACCTCCAAAAGCAGATTCTAGATCCGTCGACTTCTACAAAAAGAAATATGTAAACTTAATAAGAAACTATAATTCAGCAATTAAGCAAAGCAAGAAAAATCAATCAGCGTCTACGTAAAACTTTAAGTCGAACAAAAAAGACACAAGAAAAAGAAAATAGAGAAAAAGATCTTGAAATTGACAAGTTAAAAGCACGGCACGAAGTTCTGGAAATAGCTTTAACACAAAAATACAAAGACTGTAAAACAAATGAACAAAAAAAAGTATTGCGTTCTATTAGCAAATCCAACAATATTGCATTATCAAAAAAAGGCGTGAAAAAAATTATATCAGAAAGTTTAGGTCTAAAATGTTCCAGGATACGATTTAGCCAAACAAAGAGATTCCTAAGCAAAAACATAAAAGAAATGTTAGAGGCATTTTACAGTCGAGACGAAATAAGCAGAGCGACGTCCGGAAAGCGTGAGACTAGAACAAAACAGAAGAAAAAGATGCAAATAAGGTATCTTACTGATACTTTATACAACCTTTACCAAATATATAAAGAAGAAGGAGGAATATACAGTTTTTCTACATTTTGCAAATATAAACCTTTTTATATCCTGTCGCCGACCAATGCCTCTCGTGATACATGCCTCTGTGTTAAACATAGTAATTTTAATTTTGTGGTATCAGCTATTAAAAACTATTTCCGAACTGCAAAATCAATCTGGAAAAGATCTTTTAAAACTAGTGTCATGTGACATAAATTCCAAAAGTTGTATGTACAACGCGTGCGATTCATGCCGGTATAAATCCATAAATTTTACAGCTGATAAAAATACTGTTGTTAAATGGTGCCAGTGGGAACGCTCAAAAAAGTCGTACAAGAAAAATGACAAGGATATGATAGCCAATGTAACAAAAAAAGAAAGAAAAGTTGGCACAATTCAAGAACTAATAGATGAGTTTCAAAAACAATTGCCTTTATATAAAAAACACTTTTACAATATTCAGGAGCAGCAACGTCAATACAGAAAGTGTATTGAAAATTTAAAGCCCAATGAATGTGCAATATTGGTTGATTTTTCGGAAAACTACGACTGCAAGTTGGCACAAGAGATTCAGTCGCTTCATTTCGGAGGGTCTAAAAATTCGATTACTCTGCATACCGGCATGATTTTCTTAAAAACACAGTGTTAATCATTTGTAAGTTTATCAGATAGCAACTGTCATGAACCTCATGCCATTTGGGCACACCTTATTCCAATCATCAAGTTAGCGAAGCAAATGTGCGGTAATTTATCCGTAATTCACTTTTTCTCGGATGGTCCAAGCAGCCAATACAGACAAAAAAAGAATTTTTTCCTACTTAACTTGTTTACCGAAAAACTCAAACTGTCCATGACAACGTGGTCATTTTCAGAAAGTGGCCATGGGAAAGGTGTGGCAGATGGCATAGGTGGTGCCACAAAAAGAGCGTTAGATCGTCGTGTTTGTTATGGACATGATATTTCAAATGCTACTGATGCATTTAATAATTTAAAAATGTGCATGACTTCCACAAAGCCCTTTTTTATACCTAATTCTGATATCGAAAATATTAAAACACTAATACCAAACAATTTAAAAGCAGTTGCAGGCACAATGCAAATACATCAAATAATATCAACAACAAAAAATGAAATACTCCATAGGCAGCTAAGTTGTTTTTGTGAAAGAGGACTGTGTCTTTGCTTGAGCCCAACTAGGCATTATTTTTTCAAAGATCTTGGTTCTGGTCCCGATGTAGAAGTTTTTAATTCAAGCCAAACTGAAAAAGTAAAGTTCACCAAAGATACGACACCAAATACTACTTACCTTAATCTAGAGACAAACTTCGACGCCTGCAACATAGCTCCTGATACACTAAACTCTTATACTGACTATCTTTGTCAAGACTCAGACCTTCCTAGTATAATATTCGCTAACATTACTGAAAATACTGCCCAAAATAATATATACCATACCTGCATAACTGAAAAGACAATGGACACTACTGTAGCTCCTAGAAAATTTGATCAGACCCTCCTAAACCATGTTAAAACTTCACGAGAAGCTAAACCATTGTTAAGTGGAAGACATAATTTGCAAGTAACTGCAGGAAAAATAGTTCCAGAGGAAGAAGTATTAGCGCCTAAAAAAACAGTAAGTAAAAAAGAAAACCAAGTTAAGCGTTCCGTCAAATCGTCAAATGTCACTCTTTTATCGGACTTAAAATGCAATAAAGAAAATAGTATTATCAAATGTACAAAAGACGTATCACTAAAGTCAAAAACACAAAATTCAAACAAAAATACAAAGGTTACTATTCTATCAGACGTCAAATTAACTACACAGAATTCATCATTTTATGGTCTAAAAAATATGGATATATTGAATCTACTTGAAATAAACCAAAATTGCGACATATTATCATATGAGAGAAATTATAGCGAGCCACCAAAACAAGTTGTTACAAATGCAAAAGTATACGGCACTTTAAGTAGTAGCGAAGACGAAAATTAAGATACGTGTTCTAATAAAACTATCAAACGTAAAAGATCTCACCTATGTTCGAAGCAGTCCATTGAGAAAAAGAAGCCTAGCGATGCTATATTATTGATTGATCCTATGACTAACTATAATTATTATTGTGAACCTCAAATTCTGCAACAAGTGGATAAAATAGAAGAACTACCAGAAGCTATTGCTAAAAAGGAAATATCACAAATTATTACAAATGATTACCTAACTACGTATTGAATTAAGACTGTTGATTGAATTTAAAAATATAAATTGTTTTATTTCCCTAGCCCGCCTAACTAACTAACGCTCTAAATAAAAACAATTAGTTTTAGACTATATGACTTAAGTAGGTATAGAACTAATTAACTACAACACAATCTGTTTATTTGGAAGCACATTTTAATGCTATATTCAAGATTTATTTCATCACCTTTTGGCATTGTTATGAACGCTGCCTAAGTATCTATTTAGTCACGATAGTATTTCCTATTTAGTTACAGTCACACTTTTTTGTCCTACCATCGTTATCGATTATGATGGAATATATTATTAAACTGTACTTTAATTTCATAAAATAATTATATCACTAGCATGCTTACATCCCATGCAAGTTTGGTTTCATTGCAAAGCATTTGAAGTAGCTTAAACATGAAAAAAGTAGTCCTTTTCATTCAAAACGTCACGAAATGGTTTTAACATATGAATAGAACAACATTAATGTTGCGAAAGGTAAGTTTATTATTTTTTATAGGTAGAATAACATATTATGTTCACACAGGGAGCGTAAAATAAAATTTAAAAAGACTTATCTTTCCAGAAAAAAGAAATCATTTTGTCACTAAATGGACACAGTTTAGTCATGGTCCCTAATAAAAATGGCAATATCTAGTAAAGAAAACATTTTCCAAAGCAAAGTAAAGTTTTTTCTAGATCTTTAAGATACAGTGCGTCGAATAATAATATAATTCGAAACAATAATTTAAAAAAATGTCCGCTTTGTCCACATAGTCACGGTGCAAATTTTCACGGAATGACCCATATATAGATATTTAAGAAGTTTGAATTCCTTTGCTCCTCAGGTAATGAATCATGTCCTCAGCCACAGACCAGCGAACACTTAGCGGCTATCGAGATTATGAAACTTAAACACATACTTATATTGCAAAACAAGATAGACTTGGTGAAGGAAGGACAAGCGAAGGAGCAACACGAACAAATTGTGAAATTTGTACAGGGCACGGTTGCTGAGGGCGCGCCTATTATACCTATATCTGCACAGTTGAAGTATAACATTGAGGTAATTATGAAGGTTTAGAACCAGTTTAAGATAACAATAAAATAGTTATTCAAATTTACAAAGAAATGGTACGGGATCTGTATAACATAAGTCGCATAGACCTCTTATCGTAAAAATTAAATAGCACATTATATAAACTTTGGAATTTTCTTTTAATGATGGTGGTAAACATTGACTACATTTATTATTCTAAACATATATACAGACAAAAATGAAGTTATAACAAACAAGTTCAATCGATCAACGCGCAGCTGAAACTGCTGGGTCTAGAAGCAAGAAATTTTGCATAAATGTTCTTTAGGTGACATAAGTGTGCACTCAGAAAGGATTTCCAAAAATTTCAGCCTTAAGGGTGCAAAAGAAGGTAGGCAATTGATATGAAATTTCGTTATTTTTGGTAGTAATGTTTTCAAACTCACAGTATATAGGTAAATACTCTTTAAAAAGTAACAAAAAACGTTACTAATTTTTCAAAAATACCACTTAAAAAGGGTGCAAGTTTGTATGGAGACTTTTTGGAACGAAGTTCCTTAACCCGTGTTACACGTTCTGAGCGCATGGGAGCTAGACCAAAAAATCTGTAATAAGACTATTCCGACACTTTTTTGTTATAGTACGCACGCACTTGCTTAGATCTTTTAAACTCAGCAACGGATTTGTTTTCACCAATAGAGAGTGTTTGAAGAGGAAGAACATTTTTATAAAAAAATTGAACCGATTTCCAAAGGAAAGGCCAAACAAAAACTTCCTACTTTTTTTTAAACTAAAAAGCGAACAATAAACTGAATTATTGATATTATTAAAAAATGTGGGACCTTTTCTAACTAATTACATCAAAAACTATACCTAGTAACTAGAACCTACCTATTCTTAATAAAAATATTGTATATAAGATATAATATCACAAAAAGAAAAGAACTTCATTCCGACTGGAGGTCCATATACCCCTATTTTTTATTTTATTTTTGTCTTAATTTTCCAGTTTAAGCATATTCTTTAACAAAAATAATCATACACTTTTTTTTTACATTTCAAACCTTATAACTGAATAAATGGTGTTGTTATAAAGTAGTATTGTCAATTTGTACATGCATATTATAGCATAGAAAAGCTGAGAATTCCAAAGTTTTTAAATGTGATGTCATAAATTGCACCCGTGCAAAGCGTGCCGGTTCGAATCTACGTACCTCCACTAGCCCCGATGAATTAATGACGAGTGGGATTTCCATACGTCTTACAACGCCATAGTTCTAAGTTTTCAAATAATGTACTTTATATATATACATATTAATTAATTTTGTTTGAAGGATTAAAAACTGTTATTAATAAACTTCAAATATTTAAAAAAGAATAAGTGTTAAAATATGGATGTATGCATAAATAATTTGTGTTTTTTTAATGATTTGTGTATTTTGTTAGGTTTTATGTGAATATATCACTAAGAAGATTCCAGTACCATTGCGAGATTTCACGTCGCCACCGCGAATGATTGTGATTCGTTCCTTTGATGTAAACAAACCCGGTTGCGAGGTCGATGACCTTAGAGGTGGAGTCGCAGGCGGATCCATCCTTCAAGGAGTGCTAACAGTGGGCATGGAAATTGAGGTAACTTATTTTAATATCTTTTATAAATTAAAATGTTACAATAAATTAGTAGCCCTCTATTACAATATTTACTTTACTAATAATAATATTATGATTCATATGTCTGTTGACGTTTATATACAAATAATTATTCCAATTTATAAAAGAAAATAAAACATATTTATTCACCGATTTTCATGATGACCCTTTTACATGTTGCAGTTACTTTATGCTCTCCACTAATCTGCAGACACATCATTCATAAATAGTTTTGTTTAATAAATCACAATTCTGTGCACAACCAGTAACCCTGTATATATCGACTTTTACTCGTATCATGTTCTTTGTAAATATGTATGTTACAGTCAGAACTCATTACCGGTCAAAAGTGTATTTAACAGGCAAAATCAGTCAAAAGTACTTTTGATCGCAACATCACATTGTTATAACCTCATCTGACCCAAATGATTCAATAACAGTAGATGTATCTGATGCAGTAGTCAAGGGTACTATTGCCTAATGTCGTTTGAAAATACTTTTAACCGGCTAAGAGTTCTGACTGTAACCACACATATTTACAAAGAACATAATAAAAGGCGATATATACAAGGTGTAAGGGACATCGTAACGAATATTGAAATAGTGTATTTCAGACCATTATTCTGAGTCTAAAATCATTGGAATTTCATGCCGGAAAATTAAACTTTTTATGCAATCAGCTGTTAAAGGTAAAGGTCATGCCCCGTAGATATCGCACTATTTTAGTATTCGTTACGATGTTCCTTACACCCTGTATACAGGGATACTGGTTAGGTCGCCGAGATACTTTAGGGGGTTGTAGTTGCCATCATTGATGATAGATTTCACTATGAAATACCAAGTCCTGTTTATATATATACAATTCGAGAACAGGAATGAACGCATTACATGTTTTGTTTGGACAGGTTCGGCCGGGTCTCGTGAGTAAAGACGCCGACGGCAAATTGACTTGCCGTCCAATCTTCTCCCGTATAGTGTCCCTATTCGCAGAACAAAATGAGCTTCAATACGCCGTACCAGGAGGTCTTATTGGTGTGGGCACTAAAATTGAGCCAACTCTCTGTCGTGCTGACCGACTTGTGGGCCAGGTACGTGACTTACTTACTCAATAATTTTATACAATGTCACCGACACAATAAGTTGCTTGGTCAAAATATTATACTTACTAATGTTTGGATGAATATTTGTTACACAATCTGGATGTAATTTGGCACAGGGATATATTATATTCTGTTGTAAATATTTTATTATATTTAAAGTTGTAATTAAGATTAATGAATAAGCATGAAGCAGAAGGAAGTTAGTGTAAAACATTGAGTACAGATGAAAACTCAGTAGGTGAAAACACACCAGGGACTTCCTTTCTAGGGTATACCTGGTTCCCCGGCTATTAGTACCCGAGACGGCATGCGGTTTTAGTCGGTTCGAAAACGACATGCCACCTATCGGTGGCGTGTCGGTGGTATCTGAGGGGATTTCCGCACGGAAAAAAAAGTTAGGTACAATTTTTTTTATGAACTAAGGAGAATCAGTTTTCATGCAATAAGTTTTCTATTACGTCTGTTTCATCATCATCATCAACAGCCTCTAATATTCCACTGTTGGAGATAGGCCATTCTTTATAAAGGTTTTGGCCTACTATACCATGCTGGCTAGACGGGTTGGTATAGGATTTGTGTCAAGTTTTCCTTCTCCTTGCAGTGTTGTTGACCTGCGTAGTTTGCTCCCTTAGTCAGCTCTTACGACACCTACGGGATGAGTAGGGGTGGTGACACTCCGCATTCATAATCCGTCAGCGATGTTACTAGTATAAAAAGTAAATGTTAAACCTGTTCGCCAATCTTATTATTTGCATATTTACTTAGGTAACTATTTTTTTTGTTATAGGTATTAGGCGCAGTTGGAGCTTTGCCAGGAATATTCGTGAAACTTGAGGTTTCTTACTATCTGTTGAAGCGTCTACTGGGTGTGCGCACTGAAGGTGACAAAAAAGCTGCTAAAGTACAGAAGTTGACTAAAAACGAGGTATGCTCACTTACTCATATTACTGTGCATGTATGCATTCAAAAACTCTCTTAAATCAATACGATAAATGACATACTTATTGCACGTTTTACCAGCTCCATACTATCATATCTGTAATACATTTCATTTGATTGGGTTGACTATTTCATAAACTGGTTCAAACATTGAAAGACAAGTTTATTTAACTACAATGAAATATATTTCTCTTATCAATGACGATTTATAATTTTTTTATCTCTGACAGGTATTGTTGGTTAATATCGGTTCCTTGAGTACTGGTGGAAGAGTGATTGCCACTAAAGCTGATTTGGCCAAGATTGCGCTTACTAACCCTGTGTGCACAGAGATAGGCGAGAAAGTAGCTCTCAGTAGGAGAGTTGAAAACCACTGGAGGTAAGCTTTTATTATAACTGTTAGATTTTACGAATAGTAATGAATGAGTAAAATAAATGAAATGGCATGGAGAAAAAAAAAACCGTTACTTCAACTTCAAAAAATCCGTTATCCGTAATTGGATGAACAAATAGTATGTGAATGGCGACATTTTCTTAGCCTTTACGAGTATAACCATAAAAATCTGAATTTTACCATTTACTTCTTTTATAGAGAACAAAAAAGATATTCTCTGAGAGAATAATTTGATATTATCAAATAATTCTGTGGAATATTTTGTATATATTGCTTTATCGTAAAATGAAGTGTCTATCCATAAAATAATACTATCACTTAGTAACATGCCTGTTGCAATATACTTTTGTTTTGAACGGTGGTATTGTTTCAACCTTTCACCGCCACGCTTTAATATCTGTAGTATACCCTTGGGATACCCCAAGGGTATACTACAGATATTAAAGCGTGGCGGCGCCAGCAGACTTTAGGTATAATTTTTCGTAATGTTGTAAAGATGAGTATCCATTACTTGATAAAATAAATAAAACTCAAACCGTTTATATTAATTTTTTTTTACTAAGCAGTTAACAATAATAAGCTATTAAGTTCCACAATTAGTATTCTAGAGATGGAACCCATGTCCATCTCTAGAATACTAATATTAGAACTTATACCTACTTCAACATTACGTGTGAGGTTAATAATGTTGTAGATGTGTACATACATATATACTTGCGATCGATAATTTGGTGAAATGGATTCCATATCAAATGCGATTAATGCAGCAAAATATTCATTACGAGGATCATACCTTAAACTGACCAATTCAGGATCTCTGTCAGATAATGAATCTTCACTAGATTATAATTATTGTATCACTAATGAGTCTATCATTAGATTCTAAAATATCCAATAATTCTTCGTATATTTAATTAAACCTTTTTTTGATTTGTAAATAAAAATCAAAATATTAAATACGGTGAAATTTTGATGAAAATTTAGTTGACATTTGTATCTGTGCAATTATTAAATTTTTAATATAATTTTCTTTATTTTATACTTTATCTATCCAAACCTTCAGGTGTATCATGCTCACAGAATCACTATGTATTTCAGTGAATTCACAAAATTTATGCATAAATTAGATTCATAAATTAACTAGTAGTTACATATTATCCAATAGTCAATTTAAAACTGCATTATTTTAGTAGTATGGGTATTACAACGGTTGACTGGAAAAGAATGCCAGAGAGTCCGCCGATGTACAAGTGCATTAAGTTTGAAATAAATATTACGCAATATAACGTGGGTGGCGCATGGTGTGACCATATTTAAAACCCGTAATATTACGGCGATGGGAGTCAGTTTAAGATAAAAGTATGTTCGGTGTATTATTCTTACGAAATATAAAAATAATCACCAGCTTGATTTTCAAATATAAAAAACAGTTCTACATTCCATGATATTTAATAAATAATCATATAAATATAACTTTCTTAATGTTTGATTACAGGTTAATTGGCTGGGGTCAAATTCAAGGTGGAGAGACAATCGAGCCAGCAAAGAATTAAAATTAACAATATGTTACTTTTATACACTGAACTATTGTATCTATTTAATAAAAGAAAATATAAATGTAAATAAAATTATTATTTAATTTCATGATGACCTGAAAAAAATTACTATTACATATAATTAGATAGAACTATTTTCTGGATAAACAATTTATTTGATTATGTTCAGTACATAATATTAGGTTTGTGATAATATTTTAGGCCATATATATAAAAGTATTGATATCGTCGTCGTCTCGCCGCATATATTTATGTTCAATTAGCCATTCAAGCTGCTCTTTGATCATCTTTTTGGAGGGAAGAAACATGTTCTTCAAAATTTCAACCAATTCACTCTGAAATATTAAAAATATTAGTCTCACCTACATTAATGCTACCTAGATGAAGAACATGAATGTAATCAGATTTGGGAACCAGCTTTGACATAAGTTTTGTACATATAAAGAATTTTACCCATACTAAGTGACAGTTCAAGGTGGAAGAAGGGTCCTCAAAATACCATGCTCGGTCTTTACCCATCCCCTAGTAGTGTGGTTTATTGAAAAAAGTGTTACTATTAAATCAAGAAGCCAAAATTACATCAATGTTTAAATGAAAAAGGAGTTTATGTTAGCAGTTGTAAGTGAACTGTTAGGTATAAATTGTGTTGAATGTTCACAATGAGTAGTATAGAGATATTTATATAAACTTACCTGAAGTGCAGTATTAGTAATGCGCTTCCTCATTTTCAAAATTTTAATAATAGCTTCTTGAGTTCTTAATATTCGAAGTTGAACAATGGAATGATTATCTTCTATTTGAGATCTTTCTGTACTTAGTTGTAGTCTACCAATTAGATTTATCTTTCCTCTACGTTGAGGTTTGCAATTTTTAATTAGAGCAAATTCTTGATTTACCCAAAAAGTAGTATTTTCTGCAAAATCTTTTGGATTTTGAACTGCAGGATTATATGACAACAATTGCCTTTTAAGTTTCGGAAATGCTACAAGTGACCACAAAGTTCTCCTTAACTCTGGATCAGGTAACTCAGTGGCAAGCCTTAGGTTTTCGTAACTAATCTTTTCCATTGGCCTTTGATTCCATGCAAACAAAACTGCCATTTGAAAAGTAGTAACATCTAAATCAAATCTACCAACAGAATTAGCAAATGTAATAGTACCATTGCTCATGTGATGATACCACTGTAACTTTCGCCCCGAATGTTTCTTTTTATAAAAATCTTCTATTTCAGGAATATAGTCTTCTAATTCTAATGGAAGACTAACAGTTACTCTTTCTGAGCCACGGGCCCAGGCCCCAGCATTGAGTATCTTTATGTTGATAGCATCATGGCGAGTTGTATCAGCTCTAAACTGAGTATTGAGATCTTCACTAACTTTAATATCTTGAAACATACGAGCCAATTTATTTACATAGTCTGCAGGCATTCCAACCTCTCTTAGCCACTCAACCATATCCTCTTCCTTTTCAGAGTCTGCGCTAGAATCTAATATTAATCTGCGAGTCAAGTGTGCTTTATGATATCGCATAAAAACATCCTTGTTTTCTATATACTTAAGAACTAACAAAACATCTTTTAGTCGTGATTCTATCTGTTCACTTGTCAAACGTTTACTTAATGGTGTTTTCCGTAATAACATATCACAATAATTAGCGAGGAGCTCAGGACATTTACTTTCAGGAGCAGTACCTTTACTCCCTCGTAAAAGTGCTGACGATGGCAGCTCTAACTTAAACACAGTTGTATCATTAACAACACATTTATATGCTTTGTCACGGGCAGTTAAAAACCTTGGATCGTCCATGAAGGCATCTTTGACTAAGGAGCTGAACCTTTTGAACAAGTCCAATAAACGTTCCACATATTTCTCTGAGTCTGTAGTGATTATATCAGCTGAAGCAACCATGTCTGCTAACCCAGCAGATACTATATGTGCTTCCAAATCCCTAAGAATTGGTGTTACTCCTTCAGATACTCTATCAAGAAGACGAAACATAAGTTGCAATTTATCTGTCTCTCCTGCTTTTATTAAAGGTGCACATTCAGCTAGTAAAGTTGGTAAATGTTCTCCAATGAGCACCTTTTCACAACACTTAGTGAGTGTAGCTACACTGTCACTACCTGCCTCCAGATATCGATGTGCTCGAGCTTCTTCTTCCTTTAAACGTTGGTCAGCATATTTCATATATAACTGAACTCCATTTGCTGATAATTGCTCATCAGCTTTCAGTTTATAGAATTCTGCTGTAGCTTGCATATAAGCTGCTTCAAAATTTTCTCTATATATTTGAAGCTTATCAAGTGGATTAGAGCATAGATTTACTGCAAGTAAACAGATACAGATAAAAAATTAATATGCCAATCACATTTAAATAAATAAGCACTAAAATCTGAAAACTTACCATAAGATTCTCTTACACCAATAACAAGTTGTGAATCAAAGGACTCTCCATTTCGCTCCGCTTGGACCAGCTTCATAGCAGAATCTTGCAGTCTCTGTTTTATATCCATGAAAATACTTTGATTCCATGAATCTAACATTAGTTTCCTCACCAAACTATCTTCTGTATTGTTATTGTTGTTCTTCTTTTGAGTACTAGATGCATTGGAACTTGTAACTTTGCTGGTATTATTTATAGAATTCTCTAACTGTCGAAAAGGCGTTGGCAAAAAGTTGCATTGTGTGAAAAATTTACCCCATTCTGCAATGTAAGCTTTCAGTAAAGCCTGGTCCTCTCGATGAGCTAGAACACGATTCTGAGCCTGTTTAATATACATCATTACATCCTGCTGAAGCGCGTCTCGCAACTTATATGCACCTCTCTCGTCCCATAAGCATACTGAGTGGACTGCTTCGAACAGACCTTGCCATTCTGGTTGTGTAACAGTTTCTTGCTTGAGCAGCTTCAAGACTATTGGCCGCATCGAAGGCCATACTCCCTCGAAAGTGGTTTGCAGTTTATCCTGGAAGCAAATACATCGGGAATCGTTTATGATCGTGTATACTAAAAGTATATCAATTTCACACATGACAAACATAAAACATAACAAGCACCATTAACATTTCAATTAGATTAAATTTCTTTCACGCATAAATCCTCATAATCAAATAAATATATGGACTTAATTTGCGTTGCTTGGTAATATTCGCATTGAAATTGAATGCTTTCAATTTCAAGTTTCGATTAGGGATGCTCCAAATTCATTTTCAGTCATTGATTTTTAACGTGAATTGAATGATGTCTTTTAAAACGTAAACTTATTTTAAAACTTTTAAGGTATGAATTAAAAATCACAAAATCAGTATTCAACTTCTCTTTTAAATTTGTTACTTATTTTATATAGGAATATTATTTTAAAAAACTGAGGTTGTAGGTTTATTCCTCTGCATGATAAGGGTATTCCTCATTTGAAAACTATATTTTAAATAACTTATTTTAAGTAATAATAAGTTATTTTAAAACATTGAGGTTTCAGTCATTTTTGTTGTCCAAATCGATATTTTTGTAATAATACAACACTATTCCACGTCAGTGTGGTCGTAATAAAGGTTTTTTTAATTTTTTTTATCATTTTTTTTCTATAGGATTGCCACATTCTGAAAGCTAAGGATTCTTTTTTTTTCTTGCTTATTTAGGAGTTAAATATAAAAAAACTACGTGGGTAGAGAAACAATGCCGGTTTTGTTTTTGCTTACAATACAGTAAAGGGAAGATTATTAGATATGTGTAAGAGCAGGTGAATTAGTTTATTTACAACAACAACATTAAAAACAAATATCAAAATGGAAACTCAATAAACGATGGCATTCCCATTCATCATATATAAAAAATAGGTAAATTGTCATTAAACACAGGTCTGACGATTCAGCAGGAAGTGCTGGCAGCAAATATAATGATTGGCATTGAGAGAATTCAAAGTGGATAAATTGCCTTGGAAATGCCTTAAAATGCATGTTTAAGGTTAGATTGATTGGTGAAGTAAGGATTTAAGGAATAAGGAGATAAGAAAACGGTATGAGTAAGGGCTGTGCAGACAGGGACTTTTGTCCACAGAGGATAAACCTCCCTTTTTTTTTCCGTGCGGAAATCCCCTCGGATACCACCTATCGGTGGCATGTCAGACCCGAACCGACTAAAACCGCACGCCGTCTCGGGTACTAATAGCCGGGGAACCAGGTATACCCTAGAAAGGAAGTCCCTGGTGCCCCGACATACCTCGGGCCATCTACAGACGAGTAGATGCTCGCCACCACCCCGGCCTGCTTCTGCTAGGGTGACAGATGGCCTCACCTGTCACCCCCAGGCCTGCGCTTATGGATGACGGAGGTCGTTCTGCGACCTCCGGCGCCTGAGTCGCCTGCGGTACCTAGCCCATTCCCGGGCCTGGCGGGCCCGGGAGAGTTCTAAACCTCTCCCGGTCCCGCTCCGCCGTCTCCTTCGCGAGCATAACTTGCTCGCAGAAGGAGACGGCAGAGTCACACGCACTCTCGCTCCGCACGATAGCCGCAATCAGGCTATCGAGCTAGAGAACTCCCACTCCGATGGCCGCCACGAGGTCTCGCCTCTGCTCAACCCACGCCGGGCACTCTGTCAGCGTGTGGAGAGCCGTGTCCACGGTCTGGCCATCGCAGTGGTGGCACTCAGGCGTTGGCTCCTTGGGGATCAGACACAGGTGATCCCCGAAACATCCTTCCCCAGTGATCACCTGCGTCAGTCGGTATGAGAGGGTCCCATGACGCCTCTCGAGCCAATCCTCCATAACGGGTCTTACCGCCGCGATGACGGCGTGCTCGGCGCTCGGTTACCCGAGTCGTTCCTTCCACTCCCTTATGACGACCTGGCGGAGCTGGGATTTCCGGTCATCGATTTCTCGAATCTCGGGACAATGACCCAACTCCCGCGCCTACTTGCGCCACTGATACAGAGCCGCAAGGGCTCTCGCCTCCAGGTCCCACGGTGAAGTTCCGGCCAGGAGACTCGCTGCCTCAAAGGAGATCGTGCGGTAACCCCTTATGATCCTGATGGCCAGCACTCGCTGCGGTCGTCGCAGTATCGCGACGTTGCTGGCCTTGAGGGCCCCCACCCGTAAAGGGCCATGGATCGCACAACCCCCGAGTACAGTCAGGATTAACCTCCCTGAATCGTGAATAAAATGTCCGCCGAGAACTTGCCCCTTAAGTGCGCACACTGTTGACTTTGCAATTTGCAATACAGGCAAGGAGAGAGATGGATAATAGTTAGTCCTCTCTATCTTTTTCTAGCCGAGCTCTGTGGTTGGCTGGGGAAGATAAGGGGTTAAAAAGTAGCAAATCGTGCTAAGCAGAATTGTTCCAAACGACGAATTCTAATTCATATTCTCTCTCTATATATATATTTTTTTTTTTTTGACGTGACAACGTCTTGCAATTCGATGGAGTCGGCTGCACGCACAAAAAAACATGACTCATGCGGCGTTACATCGCTCTGAGGCGTTCCATTTAAGGCGTGAAGTGCAAGCGAGAGCGCGGAACGAGTGACAAAGAGGCACAATCGGCCTCCGCGTTCGGCAGCGTTCGACATCTGTCTCTCTCCTACTTGAGTGAGCGATGGGTCCGCGTGGACAGCTGCTACTCGTATACAATAATACATTTTTGAAAAATGCAACCATTCCATCAGTATTTTCTTATGACGTTGTCACGTTCAACTATCTTCAGTAAACCGACTTTACAGACAACCGATTTTTTAACGTTTGGAAATCTCCTCGGACCGTCACCCCGGCGGGGCTCTCGTTGGGCGGGGCGGTGTGTCGGACTCGAACCGACTAAAACCACACGGTGTGCCCTCTTTGCGCTTCCAGTTTAGGAGGGGTCCAGGTAGTTATCGCCTTCTGGACCCCTCCAGGCGCCGGCCCGCTCCTGTTGCGGGCTCCTTCTCAAAATGTTTCCTCTCTTTAGGCGACGTCCGGCTGTCGGTCTGAATCCTCACTGTAGTCGCAGTGGTGGCAGGCGGGACTCGATTCCCTCCTAGCGACCGAGTACATGTTCTTTCCGAAGCAACCGTGCCCGGAAAGCACCTGCGTCAGCCGGTACCACCACTGCACCTATACACTACTGCACCATGCAGCGCCATGGACCGGACAACCCCCGCGTACAGCCACCTCGTGGGAACACTGGCCCCGCCCAAATTGGGCAAAAGTCGCCCTAGGGCGGAGGCAGTGTCCACCAAATTCGGACCAAGCTGTCGGAAGTGCTCGTCGATGAGCCACCTACCGTCTAGGACCAGACCCAGGTACCTCATCTGGGCCCGGACCGGTACGAGGACCGAGACGAAGATATTTAGATAATGCGTCAACCTCACATTCATTAACGTCAATATGATCATCCCAGTAGCGATTTAACACAGGTGAAATCGCAGTGACTAAAACTACCATTAAATCAAATTATTATAATTTAAAAGGAGGAATAATTTCCAATACGCCGACACGCCTTTTCATACCGGCTGACGTAGGTGATCGCCGGGAAAGGATACTTCGTGGCCTCTTTGGCGGCCATCGGAGTGGGAATTCTCTTGATCGGTTTAAAGCTCCCTGGCTCGCTAGGTTCAGGAACGGGCCAGGTACCGTAGGCGACTTAGACAACGGAGGTCGCGGAACGACCTCCGTCCTCCACAAGCGCAGACCTGGGGGTGACAGGTAAGGCAATCTGTCACCCTAGCAGAAGCAGGACAAGGTTCGGGGGCACAAAGGGAACATGGAGGTTCCCACACAGGAGAGGGTCATCTAAACACCTTAGATGGCCCGAGGTACTTTGGAGCACAAGGGATTTCCTTTCTAAAGCACACCTAGTTCCCCGGCTACTGGTATTGGTATTGGTATTGGTATTGGTTGTGGGCTTCGGTTTCCGCATTTAGACTCCGAGTGGTCCTTTATGCGTCGAGGATTGGCTGACTAGGTGAGCCAGCCAAGCTCCTTTCAGAAGCGCAGAAGCCTCCTGGGGCGTTCACAGGCTTCTAGGAGCGACTTTGTATCAGGAATGATACTTGCCCGTTGTGTGGCCACTCCCTCGCATTCCAGGACTACGTGGACGGCCGTTTCTTCAGCTTCCAGACATCCCCTGCACAGGGGACTGTCCGTCGCATTGATTATGAATAGTTGTTGGTTCAGGGCTAGGTGTCCTGTAATAGTACCGACAACCGTTCTGATTTCCGGTCTGCTAAGACTGATCAGTCTGCAGGTGATTCGTGGTGTGACTTGATTCAGCATCAGTTTGGACTGTCTGCAGCCGGGTGAGTTTTTCCACCTCCGGTTGTGTGCTTCACAGGTCCGTTGCCTGACCCAGCATCGTATTTGGTTAAACGATATGGGCAGGACTGGGGTTGGGCCAGAGGTTGGGGTTGCCGAGCCCCTCCTTGCCAACTCATCTGCGGCATCGTTCCCGTGTGAGTTACTGTGCCCTTTAATCCATTGGAGGATTACCCCATTGAATATAGCGAGCTGTTCCAGTGCTTGGTGGCATTCGAAGACAATACCAGAGGTCATTGTGTTGCCCTCCAATGCCTTTAAGACGGCCATGCTGTCGGATATTATTCGGATGTTGTAGTCCTTAATACCTCTTGACATGGCCGTTGTGGCAGCGTAAGTTATTGCCACACATTCACATTGAAATATGGAACTGTGTTGGCCTAACGCTAGTGATATGTTTATGTTTAGGTCTTGCGAGAAAACTCCGGCTCCAGTTCCTGACCTAGTCTTGGAACCGTCCGTGTAAATTCGGACTTCGTTAATGCCGGATTGATCTCGGTCATTTCCATGTATCTGGATGTAGTATCTTCTTGTGAAGATATGGTGTTTTGGGATTACTGGTACCCGGCTACTGGTACCCGAGACAATGTGCGGTTTGTGTCAGTTCGAGCTAAACATAACCTTCCTACCAGTGGGTGGTATCCAAGTGTATTTAAGCACAGGAAAAAAAAAAATAGAGGGACAAAACAGTAATGCCAGTCACGTTGACAAATTCACCCATGCGCGATTGAACCTTGTTTATGGTGTTTTATTTTCGTCACATTAAATGTAAATCTCTGACTAGTAGGTACATAGTCATCTGTGAATGTAAAGTGTCAGTGATTTTTGTGTTGTGTCATGTCATGTCATATTATGATGTGCACCAATGCAATGCGTACATAAACCACTGTGTTTATCAGTGTTTAGTGTGTTTATATCATTATATCAGATTACTTTTCCTTTAGGTTCCATTATATTGATTTTATATTCATAAGATGAGTTATTTTGGGGCAATAAGTGAACCTTCAACTCGAACTGCATGGGAGGACTGGGATGACGATGTACTAAAAGAAAGTTTTCCTGAGTAAGTTACAGCCTTTTTATAGATTTTGAAATTTCTTACATTAAATTATAAGTTTATCGTTTTAATCTGTTATTTCAGGTTATGTTTTCAAAGTGATGTGAAACCACTTCAAGATATTGCTACTTTTATTATTTTAGAAGGCAGATACTTGTACAACTGTGTGAGAGATCAAAAAGAATTGGAGCACATAAATTCTGTACCAGAAGTAAATTTGCATTTATTGAAGACAAAAGAGTATAATAATTATATTTGTGTAATTAAAGACTATAATTTGGTTCAGAGTAGTGAAATTATAGAATTATTAAAAGATTACATCGCTAAAAGCACAGATGTAATAGGCATACTGACTAAACCTCTTGTTGAATATCAGGTGTCACAATTGGTTACTACAGATTATGTATTGAGAAGTCTACTTACGACTAAACAGATACCCAGAGACACAATATCTAATATTAAAAGATTAGAACAACCAAATATAATTGCAGGTGTTGTAGCTGGAGGTATGCTTTTAAAATATAATTACTCATAGTTCTGTGTAAAAGTAAATATTAAATTCAAACATAAGTATGTTACTTATCTGGAGGGGTTAACAAGAATATTAGAATCTATATCAACTAATTAGCGACTATTTGTTGTGTTATCAAAAGACAAAAAATAGAGTTGCTTTGCCACTCATTTAAAGTATTTGTCCGTCATAAAAACTCAATAGGTGGCGAATGGTTAATTATATTTTTATGATTTTTTCAGTTAGTCATTTTTTATTTAAATTTTTCTTGTAGAGAATAATAAATACTTGTTCATCTGTATGTAGCATGATATAGCTAATTCTATATACATATTTCTGTAGCATTTTCTCTATTAAAAAATTAAGGATTTTAACAACAAAGAATTTAACAAGATTCCCACAAGCAATTAATAATTTCACAAAAATATGTTTCATTTTAGCTCTGTGTTTAAGAGAAGTACTTGATAAATCGGCAGCAACACTGGTTTGCTACATTGACTCTGAGGAGCAGGACATCCATGAGCTACAGGACATCCTTGGAAAGCACAAAGTAATTTTACATGTGGACAAAATGAAAAGAAACAATTTATTGAATTCTAATTTATACATTTGATTAAAGAACAATGGTAAATTTGTCGTTGAGTATAATTTGAGCGTCTTAAAATGTTATTCATAGGAAACTAATTCTAGTAAATGTCTATGTTTTTGAAACTATTGTCTAAGTCAGTAAAACCGCAGGAAAAGAAAGAAAAATATTATTTGACTATGCTTATTTGATTACTTTAATTTCCTTTATCAGTTTAGTGTTATCATTTTGCAGCCATTTTTTTCAAGTAGTGTCAATACTGTTGAAAAGTGTTGTAACATGGTAATCAGTTATTAGTAATATGGTAATCAGATAATAGTTTTATAATTGTAAGTACCAGATCAATAAATAATGTAGTTTGTGGTGCATTATTTAACGCATTATTTACGTATTTCAAAATCCTGTAGTGGAAGATAACGAATAAAAAAAAAGTGGCAACTGCAAGCTGAAAAAAAAGCAAAGGTTTTTTGACAACTCTTGACAGGCTGTTTAAATAAAAATACTAAACTAAACGCAGGCCCCTGAAACTTCCATAAATCTGTCTTCACAAAAAAATTACATTGAAAGTTCTGCTACCTCCATAAATTGGAACTCAAACACAATTATTCACAGCTACCGATAGGTGGAGCTGGTTGATTAGTTGATATAAGAACTTTAAATTATTTAATTGCTTTCTTTAATATGCTAATTTTCTACACTTATGATTTCGTTATTTATTTTTTAACTATAAAAAACATGCAAATAATTACAAATATCACACAAAAAAAAAGACGTGTGGCACTCGGGGACTGCCGCGGTAAAGCTATTGCATAGCATTTTGTATCAACTTATGCAATTATAATTATTTATTTATTTTATTTATGCAGTATTTCTTTTTCTTTGATATTAATTCAAGTTACACTTTTTGAGCGTGGTGACCGATAAGAAAACATTTTTTTTTTCTTTTATTAAATAAAAATATTGAAGCATATATTACAATTTGTTTTTAAATAAATAAATAAAAAATATTATTATTAAATCAAATTACATATCCATGTAAGATTTTTCTGCATTATGTTGACGAAATTTCCTTTGACGTTCAGCATTTGATTTTGCTACTGTTTTTTGTTTTGTTTTTAGTGTGAGGTTTTTTTTCGTTACGGAATTTCTGGATTCGGTCCCCGCGCTCAAGGCCCTCGATAGAAGCTATGCAATAGCTTAAAAAAAGTTGGAGAACAAAACGTAAATGACTAATGAATGACTGGCAGACATACGTACAACTTTCAAATTATTTAAAAACTTCTCTGCTTCTCGTTATTTATTTTATGCTATTTTAAACTTTGACTCTGATTCTCCCTTGGACCTCGTATTAAGATACGTAAACGATTGACCCTGACGCTGTGAATAGTCGATACCTGCTTACTTTTGCGTATTGATGCGACGAAATTTTGAAATGCCAATAACATCTTTATTTTTTTATTTTTTTAGCTTTTATTTATTTATTTACACAACTTAATGTACTATTGTACAACGGTGGAATTAATGCCCAGGGCATTCTCTTCCAGTCCACCTTATGGTGGTGTAGGAATCGTTAGTAGTAGGCGTACATCGGTTGCATTGCTATTCAACTAAAATATACACTGCATAATTAGATCTATATATAAATATATACACAACACTCATAGATATACTGTAAATATTATAAACCTATATACACGGTGATTTTGAAAGCGTTTTGGAAAAGAAAATTTTGAATTATTTATCAGTAACAGAAGCTATATATAACGTTAATTTAATAATATATATGTCGCCGCGGAGTTTTGGAGGCGCCGGAAATTAATTAAATTGATTATTGTTATTAATTATTTTTGATTATAAATTTCACTCTCTAAAATCTAATTAGAATTTTTAGACAAGATTGTAATTCATAATACTGTATTAACGTGAAGTTTTAATTTTGGTGAGTTAATTTGATGCAAGTCTTTGTGAGTACTTTCAATGTAAGTTGTTTTTACTATTTTAAATGTTTTGATTGCTTTAGACTATCAGAACTTATTTGTAATATTGTTTAAATAATTAAGGCTTGATTTGGAATTCTTAATATGGTTATTTGTGGTAAATTTAATATTACGAAAATACGTTAGCGCCATCTGCCTCCGTTTTGACGCGCAACTAGACGTTGCCGCCAGAGCGGCGGCAGGTGGGCTTGAAAAACATTATTGAGAGGGAGTCTGTGACGGATTTTGAGCGGGAAAACGAGTGAGTGTTGAACCTTTGTCCAATTTCTCCCCGAATTCCAAATCAAATTAGTGTCTTGCTATTATTTCAATAATTATTGAGTTAAAGTCAATTTGTTAAGAAATAGTGTTGAAAAATAGTTATTTAAATGTTGAGTATTAACTTTCTAAGTTTTTCTAGTTGAAGTAAATGAAATTGTAATAATGTTTGACTGTTGAAAAAGAAAACCTTATGAGTTTCTTGTCTGTTCTTCTCATAATGGTAATTCCTTAGCGAACAGACGTAATTTCACCTACCCCCCAAACATTACTGAAATAACTATTAAAAACAAGTCAACTCCTTAACTGTTTTATGTTTCATTTAATCGTTATTACCTTCTTAGCTTAAATAAAGACTGTAGAGCCTTGACCTTGATAATGGTCAACGGTTTTACATTACTTTTTAAATCGAACCCAAATTCTGTTCCGATATCAGAAGTGGGATCGCCATGCGATCCCCTTTCTGCTCTGGTCTTTCGACGATTTCAGATAATCCTGACTGAAGCATTACAGCGTGCACCATGGACGGAGCCGAGTCAGATGAGCCTCCTACGTGTCCTTCGGGACCGAGCAACCCGACTCCTAGTGAGCACACTGCAAGCCCAGTATCACAACAAATTGGTAATGTACCACCTGATTTTTTCCTACACATGATGAAAATGATGCAGACCATGACTGAACGACTCCAACAACCCAATAATAAGGTTAAAATCACAGAGGTCTTCCTACCCTCATATGATCCTGATGGTAATGTTGGTGTACGTGAGTGGTGTAATCATATTTCTACGGCTAAAGATACCTATGAGCTCAGTGACTACGACATTCGCATGAAAGTGACCAGCTTGTTGAAAGGGCGTGCTAAAATATGGGCCGATAACTGGCTTGTAACTACCTCAACGTGGGAAGAGCTACGTCAAATAATTATAACAACGTTTGAGCCCGAAACGCGTTACTCACGGGATATAGTTCGTTTTAGAGAGCAAACCTACGACAATTCCAAAGATATTTCGGAATTTTTGACCCAGTCGTGGATTTTATGGAGACGTGTGACTAAAGATATGCTTGACAATAGTGATGCGGTAGAAGCGGTAATAGGAACTATTAGTGACGAGCGCCTTAGAATTGAATTAATGAATGCCAGAGCTAGTTCAGTGCCCGAACTGATCTCTGTTGCTTCCACTATTAGATCTAGCAAACGTTCTAGCCAAAACAATCTGAATCCTAATCAACCATTGCATAAACGCCCTCGATTTTCAGATAGTAATAAACCCCATGCTTCTCTTTACTGTAATCATTGTAAAAGAACTGGCCATTCTTTCAGTAATTGCCGTAACAAAAATGCTGCCAATCCGAATGTGCAAACAACCGGTGGGGTCCCTCAGTCCCACCCCTCATCAAAGCCAAATGACACGAATAATAAGTTTTGTTCATATTGTTCCAAACCAGGTCATACGTTTGACACTTGCTACCGCCGGGAAAAAGCAATAGTTCCCAACATTAATTCGGTGGCTAGCAGTCACTCTAGTTTGAATACTATGCCCATGCGTGTAGGTGACATTACGATAGATACGGTATTTGATAGTGGGGCCGAATGTTCGGTAATGCGCGAATCTATTGCAAACAAGTTACCAGGTCGTAGAGAACAAATAGTTAGTTACTTGCGAGGTATAGGTCCATTCCCGGTGATCTCCACGTGGAGAATAAAGACCATATGCGTCATAGATAATACTAACGTAGAAATCGTGTTCAATGTTTTGCCCGATTTTGAAATGACTTCGGATGTTCTAATCGGTGCGAATTTACTACACGATACCGGTTTAAGTGTTTTAGTGACACAGAATAGCGCGAAACTAGTACCATGCCCACGTGTCATGCATGTACGAGCCGACAGCGGTATATTTGACAATATGGATCACGATCTAAAGGAACAATCCGAGGTAGATCAATTGTTCACTTTGCTTAACCAGTACTCAGATCTCTTCACGCGCGGTTTTGCTAAATCTCGAGTCAATACAGGTCAACTAGAAATCCGTTTAAAGAATAAAGACAAATTTGTTGAGAGAAGGCCTTATAGGTTAAGTCCAGTCGAGCGTGAAAAGGTTAAGGAAATAGTCGCTGAATTAATTGAGAACGATATTGTGCGGGAAAGTAAATCTCCATATTCGAGTCCAATTATTTTAGTCAAGAAGAAAAATGGCGACGACCGAATGTGCGTCGATTATCGGGAGTTAAATAGTAACACGGTACGCGATCACTATCCCCTACCTCTAATTGCTGATCAAATCGATCAGTTGGCTGGTGGACAGTATTACACGAGTTTAGATATGGCATCCGGATTCCATCAGATTCCTATTGCCCCAGATTCAATCGAGAAAACTGCTTTTGTGACACCCGATGGTCTCTACGAATACCTAACCATGCCCTTTGGTCTCTGTAACGCGCCGTCCGTTTACCAAAGGTGCATTAATCGCGCGTTAGGTCCGCTACTGAATTCTGGCAGTGCCAATAATGGTCACAACGATAGCGTAGCCCAAGTGTACATAGATGACGTCATAAGCAAATGCCGCGACTTTTCCTCTGGTCTTTCATATTTGGAAAGAATCTTGATAGCATTGCGGCAATCCGGGTTTTCCATTAATATTGACAAATGCAGCTTTTTCAAAAAGTCTATAGAGTACCTTGGTAATATAGTAGAGAATGGTCAGGTCCGTCCCAGTCCCAAAAAAGTCGAGGCCCTATTGAAGGCCCCTGCTCCCACCACTGTAAAACAAG